CTCTCTCTCTCTCTCTCTCTCTCTCTCTCTCTCTCTCTCTCTCTCTCTCTCTCTCTCTCTCTCTCTTTATCTCTGTCTCTTTCCCTCACTTTCTCTCCTTTTTTTCTTCTTCTATCATTTACTACTACATTGATAACTATAAGTAAGATCATTTGCCAATCTATCTTTACCCATCAATACGCAATTACCCAAGATAAATTTGTAATAATGCACATTTACAGTGCAATACTCCTAACCATACAGCCCCGAAACATGTGTAATATACTCTCAGGCAGTTCTAGACACTATTAGCACACGTACCAAAACGTAATGTAAACATTATGACCTCCGTCTAAACTTTCACACGGTTACATGCAAATATCTCCTGTTTCCTGAATAGCTCGACACTGTATGAAAAGATCCGTCTCGGTGTGGCCTACACTGGTCATAATTGCATACCATAAGCGAGGTCTAGACTAAGAGCATACTACAAAAATATCATTATTGAGTGGCGATGTACTGTACAGTGGACACTTGACACCTAGCAAGGTATCATCGTCCCAGAACATCTAGCTTCCCAATGTCACACAGATGCAGAGAGTATATTGTATGTTTTGTGGTAGATAATTTGCAGTGTATAGTGTGATGGAGTATAAAAATTTCCACTACCATAAACCATTAAAAATTAGTAATGCACTAGCGGGGAAGAGCACAACTGAGACAAACTGGTGCCAAATCGGCCTCACATAGTGCAAGTGAGACGTATATAAATGCATGCAACAAACTGCTATAACCCTTTCGAGACTCTTGTGGAATTTTCTACTCCTGGTATAAAGTGGCCATACGGAAAAATAACGGATTTCGGAATTTCGAATAACAGGTGCTCATGGAACCTGTAGCAGATAGTAGTAGAACTAGTAGTAGTACAGTAGTACTAGTAGTGAGTAGGTACTCACTATAGTAGTAACAACTGTTAGTGTTACTGTCAGCACATCATTACAACTTGTACAACTTCAGTACCATATATAGGCCTACTCCTACTATAGCACTATGACTAGATACAATCATCATGATCATGCACAGTACGTCAGGTATCCTCGTAATCTCGTAAGCTTTTTCTGCTGTCAACACTGCGGCTGGCAGCAGAAAAAGCTTCAATTCTACAAGTGCAACTAATCATCTGCATCCGGCGAAGATCCGCATCACTGATTTAAATTTCATTCAAATCAAGATAAAAAAAACTGGCAGAAAAATTGCTTTCGTCATTTCAGATTTTCTAAATAATGCTCATGCTCATTGTCATTGCAGATTTTCTAAATATACTCTGCACCTACATCTAAAAGATAATTAAAATAGGACTACTAATTACTAAACTATATTATTATTACTATGAGTCATTCATTTAGGACCATTTATGTATGACTTACCTATTCTCCCCTCAGCGAAAGACCGACCAATTTCGCCTGACAGAAGCACCAAAACACACCACCACCTTAACATAATTTCCCTATCAGGCTTTCTTATCCATCGCGTCTTGATACGGTTTGCTTTTCCGGTCCAGAAAGGACAAAATCCGGAAAAAATGCAGGTTTCCCCTTGTAACCTTCCGAACCAAACAGTTCGAAAATAAGGTTTCGCCGAGGTTGTGCTACCGTGCTAACATGAAGATTTTCTGCCGCAGTATGGCGGAAAATGACGTCACAAGTACGTCATGTTGTGGGCGGGTAACTAAATTATTCTGTTTACTGCCGCCGTCACATTTCGCGTGGGACGGCCACAGAAGACGGGGTCGGCACACTGGAAAACCAATGCCAACTGAAGAGCATATATAGCTTGCTTTTTTGGGCATTGAACTATAGGAAATATGGAAGGAGCAGTGTACACAGAAAGTGGAAATATGAAATAAGTAAACAAGAAAAATAAGGAAGGAATGGAAAACAGCATTTGTCATTCGTCGACGTACGTCGACGCTGAGAGGGTCTATGTCCCCCGGGCGGGGGTACTGCCGGAACGTACCCTGGGTACGATCTGGTATACCGGAACGTACCTTGGTACTATATTATATGCCGAACCGTACCTCGCCTACTCCACTAACGAGTCTAGGGAGTCGCCTACGCCTACTCCCTAACCCTAACCCTATACCCTAATCCTGATTCCTAACCCTAACCATATCAAAATTATAGTGACCAGGGTACGTTCCGGCAGTACCCTGGGGGACATAGACCCTATGAGCACTACTATAATATGCCAGGCACAGCGTCTAAATAAAACAATAAATTATATACACCATATATAAACATATGACTATTGACCATTGTCACCATGACTCGAGCTCAATAAACCATAACATTAAAATTATATTTAGAACTAGAAATGGCAGTTGTCGCCAACTACATGTATCCCCCGTGATCTAGTATGAATAAAATATCTCCGTAATTAAGGACGTATGTTGATTAGGGTTAAACTAAAAGTCGGAGAGATTATCTGCAAGTGCAGAGTAAAGGTCAAAGACAGGTGCCAATGCGCACTTTCTCTCTCAGACGTGTAAGTATACCAAGTCTGGTTGCGCTAGGTCAATTAGAGGCCGAGTTATAGAGCGGAAGAGAAATATGATCAATTTCAAGGTCAAGGTCCAATAAAGGTAGCAGTGACCTGGTTTTGGTACGCTGCGCACCTTCTCCCCAAGATGTGTATAAGTATACCAAGTTTGTTCGCGCTAGGTCAATTAGTGGCAGAGTTATAGAGAGGAAGGGAAATATGATTAAGGTCAAGGTCAAGGACAAATAAAGGTCGCAGTAACCTGGTTTTGGTACGCAACACACCATCTTCCCAAGATGTGTAAGTAGACCAAGTGTGGTCACGCTAGGCCAATTAGGGGCCGAGTTATAGAGCAGAAGGGAAATATGATCAAGGTCAAGGTCAAATAAAAGTCGCAGCGACCTGGTTGTGGTACGCGACGCACCTTCTCCCCAAGATGTGTAACAGTAAGTATACCAAGTTTGGTCACGCTAGGTCAATTGGGGGCTGAGTTATAGAGCGGAAGGAAAATATGATTAAGCCCAAGGTCAAATAAAGGTTGCAGTAACCTGGTTTTGGTACGCGACACACCTTCTCCCCAAGATGTGTAAGTATACCAAGTTTGGCCGTGCTAGGCGAGTTATAGAGCGTAAGGATAAGTGTCTGCGGCGGCGAGCGGCGGTGGAGGCGGCTGGACAGACATGAAACCATATAGTATCAGGAGATAGTATTCCCGCCAATTTTGTCGCGGGGGATACAATTATAAGTCTATAGACTATTATATAACATATTTGCTTCGTGTCCGCTTTTTTTAACCTTTCATAAAATTTATCATGGTCAGATTGGCATTCTCTCTTGCGTAATGGTCTAATGGAGCCTGTCCACAGTACTCAATCAGACTGAGCCGTAAGCATCGTTTTCGACATATATGTCATTATGTGATGCATGGATCTTCTTCGTTTCTGTCAATCCATATTGGAATTCTCTTCCTCCTCTTTTGTTAATTGCAAATTTGATGCCTTTTTCTGCTGCAATCCGCAGTGTTGATCTGTCTATTTGATCAACTTTGTGTATCTCCGTTTTCATTATAGTCCCTTGGACTTTGAAGACTGATCTTTACGAAGTTATAGGTTAAAATCGCTATGCTATCGAGCACTAGCGGATAAAGGGCGGGGCAACAGGGGCACGTGCCCCGGGCCCCCCACATTTGGGGCCCCCCACATTTAGAGTATCCTAAAATTTACAAAACTGTCGTAATTGTGATCCACAAAATTTTTAGCATGGAACGTTGAAGTGATGCGTTTCCCATGCTGTTTCTCTGACTGAATTTTGCTGTTCAGCTGAAGGACACTTTCCCTAATACCGAAATTGCTCTGAGAATCTATCTTTCATTGATGGTCTCGAATTGTAGCGGTGAAAGGTCATTTTCAAAACTCAAGTTGATTAAAAATCACATGAGAACCACGAATGGCACGATGAGCCAACAGAGACTGGTAAACCTCAGTATTCTCGCTATCGAAAGTGATATTTTAAATTCGTTGAAACACGATGAAATACTCTCTGAATTTGCAAGCATGAAAGTGCAGAAAAAATACAGACTATAGGGCCCCCACACAATTGCGTGCCCCGGGCCCCCCACACGCTTAGTCCGGCCCTGCTATCGAGTATCGTTATGCTAAAATCGCTGCGATGCGAAGGGTCGCTAAGCATACGATGCATAGATATCATATAACAACGTTGTTATATGATATCTATGATACGATGGCAAAGTTATTTTCCACAAGTATCGCAAGGGGGCGCCACAAGCACGGTTCGGACGGCAATCAGAAAACCCATTCGGCTCTTTCCGTCATTCCTAGAAAAGAGACTATTCTGTTCCGAGGGTTCCCGATTGGTTCGGACGCTTCGCACGGCCACAGGTTCCCTTTTGTTTTTCGCAATGTTGAATTTTGTTGTTGTATTTGTAATTAAAAGTGCAAGTAGTCATCACGACCATTTACATTTGTGAAGGGGTTATTATTTCTCTAACAAATAATATCCTAGTCTTGTGTATGTTTTTGTACGTTCAATACGCTATCAAGTAATACTATTACTAATACTAATAGTAATACTAATAATAAGTACTATACTACTACTAGTACTAGTAATAATAATAATAGGCCCCCCGTACTACTAGTAATACTAATAGTAATACTACTAATATCAATATAAGCCGGTATCAAAAACATACTCGCAGCTTTTTAATTAGGATTAGGGTTAGGGTCACAATGCACCATAAAAGTTATTGAAACAGGACAGTAGTTTCAGGCACGTGATTTGTATCAACCAATGGGATTTGGGAGGTATGCAGGCCTTAGCTGCGAGTCAAAAACACCCGTCATTCCATTGGCATTGGCAGACTAGTAGTTGTACTGCTGATAGGGTCTATGTCCCCTAGGGTACTGCCGGAACGTACCCTGGTAACTATCTAGCTGATATGGTTAGGGTTAGGGTTAGGGAGTAGGCGAGGTACGGTCCGGCCTATTAGATAGTAGTATTTAGTACCAGGGTACGTTCCAGTATACCGGACCGTACCCAGGGTACGTTCCGGCAGTACCCTGGGGACATAGACCCTATCAGCAGTAGTACTAGTAGTACTAGTAGTCATGGCCGTACATATAGCGGGGGAGCAGGGGGGCACTTCCCCCCCTCCCAGAAATTTAAATTTGCAACCCCCAGCGTGGTCATAACAATGTTTCCAGAGGTAGCTCGCTCTGGTCTAAGTCTTCTCTCATCTACTGCTCCCCCCACCACTGAAAATTTCCTGTGTACGACCTTGCTAGTAGTACTAGTAGTACTAGTAGTACTAGTAGTAGTACTACTAGTAATACTAATAGTATTAATACTATTATTAGTAATTACATAATTAGGGTATGAAATAATGTATTTCATGAAATACTAGTATGTACTGATAGTATATATGTATTCATTATAGGTACCCAACATCCTTAATATAAATGGCTCGTTCGATGTCACCGAAAAGGTCGCCAAAACAGTCCTCCCGTAGTCAGCGATCACGGTCACATTCCAGAAATCATTCACATAGTCGGCATTCTGACTCAGGATCTAGAGGAGTGAAGGGGCACAAGAAGTCTGCACCAGGTTCTGACACGAAGAACAGGTCAGGCAGTAGAAAGCATGGAAGATCATCCCGTTCAGCATCGCACTCCCGTCGTTATTCATCGAGGTCTTTGATGAGAAGCAAGAGTAGGTCTGCTTCCCCTCGAAGACGTGAGCATCGTTCTCGCTCTCCTGCAATGAAGAGGCGTGAGTCTAATTCACCGCACCGTCGCAGGAAGGCCTCACCCGGAGGTGCATCCCCAATGCATTCAGGTTCACACACACAAATGAACGTAACTTCAAGATCTGACAGTCACAAATTAGCCAAAACACACCAGCGCAGATCCAGTATTTCAAAGTCTCCTAAAAACACTGCCTCTGAATCACCTTCAAGAGAATGGAAGAAGAAAGTCGATATTCGCAGAGAATATCATAGATCACGCTCTCGGTCCAACTCTCTGCCTATCGATAAGTTTGTTTCCCAGAGAAAATCTCCATCTCCAGATGGGGCTGGCAAGTGGGCCTCAAGATCACATAATAGGCGGCCAAGAAACTCATCACCATCCATAACAAAAGGCCATCGCTCTAGGTCTTATGAGAGAGGTTCAAAATGGAGGGTTGGTGCAAGGAGTAGGTAGGTAGTAGGAATCATTTATTAAATAATTAAATTTAATATATAATTGTGACAAATCATAATATTGGATCTAAAGATACTGATTACACTTACAGCATGATAAGTCTTTACAATTAATTTACACCAAATTGTTGTTAAATTACGTAAAAGTATACGGGAAGTATTTTGTCTTAGACTGCATGCAGCCACTGATCATTTACAATGCTATCTGTACGCCATATTTACGAGAATTGTCTAGTGTTTTCCCTCTCTTTTATAGCTGTTTAATTACCCACCGTTATTGCTTGAGTAACAGCAACAGGCTAGAGTAACGAGAAAATGAATTAGAACCTTATTCACCAAAACATGCAAGTTCGATTACCAGCGAGCCCTTTCTTGTAATCTTGGACCAGTTAGTAGTGCTACTAGCGCCAGCTATCGTCCATAGACTTGCACGTCTCTCGCAAAATCTCATTTGCACTGCCAAATTACAAGTTGACACATTTAACAAATCTCGCGACTCGAGGATATTTTTGTTGTGTTACGATGTGTTCATATCCAATTTTCTATGCTATAACTGCATAAAATCCGGTTTTTCAAGTTGGTGTAATCAGTGATATATCCGCTGTGAGGTGAGACTATATTTTGTTATATTTTTTGGGGTTGAGCGTTTCTAAGCAAAAATTTCGTAATAAAAACTTTAACAAACATGGCTTCAGGTCAGGATCACCTCGTCCGCAGAAGAGCGCACGTGCCTCTTCACCTATTAGCATATACAAGGAGTTAGCAAACAAGTCGGCCACTGTTGAAGATCGCCACTATGCGAAGAAGACCTTTGAGCCACCAGAAAACTTCACCATTAAGATCACGCGAGTCAAAGAGCCGAGTTCACCACAGACGAAGTCAATAGAGATCGACCGCGTGTACCTGCCTCGGAAGAAGGGTGAAGGTGTGAAGCCTCTCTTTGAACGACAGGAGCTGAGAAGCATCGCACATTTAGACTTTACCGACCGCGATACAAAACAGGAGAGCAAGAAAGTCATAAGTGTTAGCAGCAGAGGCGATGGTACTCAGTATAAGCCGATAGGCTCCTCTGAGATGCACATGACGGGCACGCTGCTGAGTAACCGATGGAAGGCAATGATGGCACATGCGCAGGATGATAACCGAGTTGTTGACGTGGTTGCACCAAAAGCTATGGCAAGGAGCCGGTCGCGCTCCCCGATTTCCAAGACCGTGTTCCACGTCAGCACCCGCTACCCCGACAAGAGCCAGGAACCCAGGGGTACGGCTTACAGACGCCAGCCAAGTGGCAAGCATCTAACGACTGGAGACTTGCGTCACAGCCTGCAGGGGAGACGAGAGGATATGCGGGGCGGGGACGACAGGTCACGGCCGAAGCGTGGCAGCGGAGAAGATCTGCGGCTTAACATAGAGGAGAGGAGGGCGAAAAGGCACATGGATGATAATGATTATGAGATGGGACGGAGCCGAGGCAGAGAGGGTCAGGACAGGCGAATCAGCAGTACCACATCTCCAGCACAGAGCAGAGATGCAAGGCTGCATCAGCCTGGTTAGTATACAGTCTGTACATGGTTTTAGCTATGCAGCCTGACAGCCTGCGATGTTAGCTGCTCCATGCAGCACGTTACATCAGCTTTATACTACATTCATTATATCAGACCTAGACATCAATACGAATCATTTCATTGCAAATGTCATTTATTTGTGTATTAAAGAAAGGAGGCCAGAGAGACCATGGAGAGGAAGGGATATGCCACAGAGATTACCAGACTTCAGCAGAAGGCCAGATAAAGGACAATTTGAAGTTCCAGAATGGGTTCAGAATCCAGAAATGATACCAAAAGGAGGGTACTATTATGAGGTAGGTGCAATTCTTGTGATATATAACAATATATTTAGAATGCTCAAATTTTTTTTTAGCTCAGCTGACGAAGTCAGATGCAGCTTGTGGAATCGCATGATTGTCTGTCCGCGCGTGCGTCCGTCCGTGCGTCCGTCAACATTTGGGCACAAATCTTAACCGCTCGCTGTACGGTCTTGATATTCGGGACGTGTGGGGGGGGGGATCGCAAAAAGGACTCGGGATGTCGAATTTGGGGGTCAAGATTCAGTGTGTCAATGAAGGGGGAATATTTCCCCCTTAACTTAAGGTATAGGAGGAAATACGGAATTGCGGCACAATTCTCAACGGCTTGACCTACGCTCTTACGTGTGATGGGGAGGAAACCCATCACCAGCGCGAAATTGGAGGTCACAGGTCAAAGGGCAGTGGGGGAAAGGTCAGATATCAGACATTTTCTGAGAACATGGTCTAACGTACCGAGTGCAAAACTTTTTTGTTTCAGTGCTGACCTACCATTTTTATCACTTTATTGAAAGGACCATGAAATGTGCTTTCCGCTGACGTGCGAAGAGTAAGTGTCTGATAACCTTTTGACCCTCAAGAGGAGGGGTAAACACGGATTTGTTGACTGTTAACAAAGGACTAAACTGCTTTTGCTATTAGAGCCCCTCCCCCCCCTTCCAGACCTTGTGTTTTAAGGTGCGCGATCGCGCCATCGCGCGCCTCGATTGATCACGAGAAGTGCGAAAAAATGCGCACCTAAGCATTATCAAAACGCACACCTTTTTTTTTTTTTTTTTTTGTGTTTTATTTTTCATTAATTTAACTTATAAACTCGAAGATAAACGCAAATGGTTGTAAATATCACAGACATTGCCGGAAGTCGGTTCACATGTTTATAACGACAGTCGCAAAGCGCTCTAGAATGACGAATGTGATTGGTTGTATTTTTAGATAAAGTTTTAATAGTCTACTTTGAAAAATTGAGTGTTGTTCCTTTTTGACTAAACATGCTAAATGTGTGATTCAAGTTATCCACATGTCCAAGAACTGATATTTTGTTAGATGAAAAAAAAATCACCTAAAAAATGTCAAAATTAATATTACAAATGCAGAGCTAATTTTTAGCCCAAAATGCTGGAAATGGCATTTCATGAAGTCTAGTTTTCAAATTTTTTCCGGGGGGGCATGCCACCGAACACCCCTAGTTTGCCTCGTGACCTGCAGGCACTCCGATGCAAATCACACACCTCGGCGAGCCAAGGTGTGCGATTTTTCACTCGCCTGCATTTTCCAAAACACAAGGACTGCCCCCCCCCTCTCCCTTGATTCGGTTGCCAGTGAGTTTATCAGAAGAATACCCAGCTAAAGTACACGTTAGTTGAGCGCTGTCGCTCTGCGGCACTTGTTTGAGGAAACCAGAGAGGTGGCACAGTGAAACTGCGGAGCTTATCTGGTACTGCCTGTTGATATAAATTCAAATGTGCCCAACAGTTCCTCTGGCTAGAAATACAAAAGAAGAGGATTTAGGTTGTGCTTAAATTCAGAGGTTAGGAAATGCTGTGCTTAAATTCATGGTGTAATTAAAGCAGGATTCCCCTGAAATCCAGAATGCATCTAATCAATGTAATGTTCTGTGCAGGATTTCGTCCATAAAAATATTTAGATCAGATAGGCTCAACATAAAAGCTGCCTTCTTTAAATCTTGTGTGTTCCTATGTTTACATCGACAAAAGTGTCTCACACCTTTGTGTCGAGTAATATTGACATAGCGGCTCCAAAAGATTTGACTTATCTGCGTATATATCTGTGCATACAATATAGTACGTAAATAAGTCTTAATTCTTATAATTTTGCTATTGGTGAAATTAAGTTTGAGTAAGTGGTTATTATGTTCTCAATGCTAGTTTATTATGAGGTTTAAAAAAACTGTTTATTTTGTTGTTGTGCAAAACTACTATCCTAGATTAGACTAGGCACTGTTGCTGTGCCACCTGTACAAGCTCAAGTAAATTTTGAATGAAAGGTCATTCCTACATGTTTGCATTTTTCTAATTATATTTTTAATTAACAAGGCTTGTTTGTGCTAAACGTGGCATTTGGGGGACATTTTTATGTGGTAATCAAGGAATGGTAATATATGTAAAAACATTCATGGCAGCTTTTCACTTTGGGGCTGCAGTTTTAAAAACAATTTTCACCTACTACAACTACAAGTGCCTTTTTTCACACAATCATAAACCAATTATCCACATTATGGGGTATTTTATTGCTTGGAATATTGTAAACAAGAAATCAATATTTAGCTAACGTACTGGTAAAAAATGCTATTGCCATCCACATATGAAAAATATAATATATATATGAAAATATATTTTGTGATTCTCGCCATAAACTTATATATATAAATATTTATCAAATTACTGGGTCCATCAGCTCGTGCAGACCTCTTGCATTATCTTTTCGTGTTGCCTCCTTAATTCAGAGGAGGAATACTATATGTGAAGCCTTTTGGATTCGCATTCAGTGTTGTTTATGTGACTGAGGCTAATGCTATTCTCTGGGCTTCATTTGACCATGTTGGAATAGCTCAAAGTGTTCTTGTGTTATGTTGTTACGAGTCTAGCGAGTCTAGAGTCTTAATCTTGATGAGTTCCAAACTCCCAACTACTTGGAAATGTGAATTTCTGATTTAATTTTGAGTGTGTGAAGATAACTTTTATGGGAATATAGTTGTGACCTTACTTTTAGCATGATGACCGGGATGTGGCGGGACCAGAGGGAATGTCAGGCATGTTCGGCAGTGACTGGAGCCGTGGTAGAGGCTCAAGGTTTTTCAGAGGCTCCACTTACCGAGGCAGATTCGGAGGAGCACCGCGAGGAGGTTATCGCGGTAACTTCCGTGGAAGAGGAGGCTTCAGAGGGCGAGGTGGTATGTCAAAAATGTTAATGAACCCCATTCATGGCTTTAATAATTTGCCGAGTTAAGTGATTATTGATATCTGCTTAATTGATGAGTAACTGTGTCCCGATTGGTTGCCATTGTTATCCATGTAAGTCACGTTTTACTGATATCATGCTCAGTGCAGTTTATGAGGTTTGTTAAGCTTGATTTATCCGAATTTGTAATATATGATGCATGAGTATTTATTTTTATTTTTTATCTAGATAAATCATGTTACCTCACAAAAATAATTCGAATTGCAACCAGTGTATTATCAAGTGGCTCAATTACAACAAACATAATCAGCTAGACTGATTTTAAATTACTAAAGCATTCACAAACAATTTACATGAGGCCAATGTTATTAAAAATTATTTATGCATCCCAGCAATGTGTGGATTTTTAAAGTGCTAACTTACCAAATTATATTGAATTACATGTTATAAAATAGAATAATCAAACTAAGAGATGGCAATTCTCAGTGAAATTAATATGAAAAACAAGTAAAACATATAAAGTATGTTGCATGATATGCACGTTTATTTTTAATTGGATCATGTAAAATTTCAGGTCCATCTTTCTTCCGTGAAAAGAGCGTGGAGCGAGAATGGAAACACGATAAATATTTGGATACAGAAACGGTAAAAACATTTTTGTCGATTATAAAATCGCATTTACACGATAAGGCTTACATAAGATTAGTATTCTAATACTCTGTAATAGTATTTAGTTGGTTATGTGTACTTTATAATGACTTTCCTGTTTTTTTTATAGGAAGATACAGGTGAGAAACCTACCAGTACGACTTAATATGCGGTAAGCACAGACACACCCACAACAGCAGCATAGACAGCAGTATTTGATATACAAGTGTTTCTCCACAGTAGTTGACAGCTTCCTCCATCATAGTCCTCAGTTTTACTTGTGGCTAATACCCTGGGGCCGGTTTCACGAAGCGTAATTAACTTTAATTATAATTAAATCACTAATCATGATTAACCTCCCATAATTATGATTAGTTAATCATACTTAAAAATCTGTTTCACGAAGTAATTTAATTACATATTTAACTAATCACATAATTAGCCGACTTATACATGAATCACTGTATTCAAAATGGCGGACAATGCAAAAAGTACCTGCAAAACGATACCTGAAAAGGAATTAATTTGCAATTATAATTACTAAATTAGTACAGCTAATCTTAGATAATTTAAATTTCCTTGGGATAAAATGGAAGTAAAATTTCCAATTGTAAAATCTGCAGCCTACTTACTGTACTAGTACTAGCAACTAATTATGATTAGTGGATGTAATCATGCTTCTGAATAGAAATAAATATTGTGATTAACTTGATCATGATTAAAGTTAATTACGCTTCGTGAAACCGGCCCCTGGTACATAAGCTATGGCTATGTGATGACACAATGAGAAATCACTGTAGATATATCATCGACTACTAGCTCAGATACCTGTACATTGGCCTAAGGAATGTAGAAGGGCAATAGTAGATTATTTGGCAATGTCGGTGAAATATAATAAATTGTATCAAATATGATACTTTTCAGCGATTTATCATTAGGTTTAGATGTAATTCTAGCATTATACAAGTTATATGTGAACTCCCATGACCACTACACATTCTCTTGTGAATGGATAGCTAAATGAAGTTATTTGCCAACAGTTAGTTGCTTTTAATAAGAATATATTTATCATCCCTATTAAACAAGTTCATTAGGTTGGTAGACTAATAGATGTGACTGGGTTAATTGTTACTCAACCGTGAAGATTGGAAACGTACAGCTTACGTTTCGCCTCCTGTCAGGAGGCTTTCTCAAAGCCAATTGATGATTATCAGTTTTGACCACCAGATGGTGTGGTGGTCAGTAGCTTAGTCCACACGTGACTGAGCCAATCAAAATCAGGTGATGTATTAAGGAGGCCATCTGGATCACTGATCTCTATAATGTAATAGATTATATTATAGAGATCAGTGATCTGGATCCGCAAGACCCCGAACATCAACCGTGACGAGGGGGATCAGGGGCGTGTACAGGATTTGTACCAGGGGGGTCTAACCGTAAACCAAACTTGCGAGCACGCGAAGGAGGGGTTTGGGAAAAAATGTTGAAATTAGACCCCCTTAGATGCGTTTTTTGCGCGAGCAGGGGGGGTCCGGACCCCCTGGACCCCCCCCCCCGTACACGCCCCTGGGGATACAGGCTCAGTCACGTGTGGACTAAGCTACTGACCACCACACCATCTGGTGGTCAAATCTGATAATCATCAGTTAGCTTTGAGAAAGCCTCCTGGATGGAGGCGAAACGTAAGCTGTACGTTTCCAATCTTCACGGTTGAGTAACAATTAACCCAGTTAGATTTATATCTGTCATGTTTAATTTTGTCATAGCTCTGCATTTAATTTCATTATTTCATGAATGAGTTTTACGTTTAGTTTGAGTTGCATGAATAAATTATCTGCAAAAGTATATACATTGAAATTTTGTAATTTTAGAATATCATTGAATTCTGTTATGGATCAAACTTGATTGTATATGGTTATACCTATTATACAATTGTAAAATGTCACAAAAGCAACTACGAGGTTATATGAAACTGTGTGTACATTCTCTTCATTATGTCTGCAAATATTTACTACGTGATCTTCATAAAAAAATAAAAAGGTACGTGGGTTGAAAGTAAAATGAAGACAACATCATTATACGTTTGATCCAATATGTATATCTTATCCTGTTGTAATTTTAATTATTAGCTCAGCTGACGAAGTCAGATGCAGCTTGTAGAATCGCATGATTGTCCGTGCGTGCGTGCGTCAACAGTTGGGCACAAATATTAACCGCTCGACGTACGGTCTTGATATTCGGGACATCGTGGGGGATCACGAAAATAACTCGGGATGTCGAATTTGGGGGCCAAAGGTCAAGATGTGTCAATGGAGGGGGAATATTTCGCCCTTAACTTAAGGTATAGGAGGAAATACGGAATTGCGGCACAAATCTCAACGGCTTGACCTACGTTCTTAATATTCGATATATAGTGTGATGGGGAGGAAACCCATCACCAGCGCGAAATTGGAGGTCACAGGTCAAAGGGCAGTGGGGGAAAGGGCAGATATCAGACATTTTCTGAGGACATGGTCTAACGGACCGAGTGCAAAACTTTTTTGTTTCAGCGCTGACCTACCGTTTTTATCACTTTATTGAAAGGACCATGAAATCTACTTTCCGCTGACGTGCGAAGAGTAAGTGTCTGATAACCTTTTGACCCTCAAGAGGAGGGTTAACCATGGATTTGTTGACTGTTAACAAAGGACTGAACTGCTTTTGCTATTAGAACCCCCTCCCCCACCACCACCACCACCACCACTACGCTCGCGCTCGACGCATATCCATGATAACATGTTAATATAGCGAAGTCATTAAATAGCTGTTAAAAGTTACACAGCTGTATCTTTATTACTGTACTACCAGTAGGTATAGCAAAGCCTATCATAGATTTTAGATCTGTATTAGTAGTATCCTAGATATATGCTCTGAGCGCGAACGCGGTGGCAGGAGGGCGCACTTGATTCGGTTGCCAGTGAGTTTATCAGAATAATACCTGGCTACAGTACACGTCAGTTGAGCGCTGTCGCTCTGCGGCACTTGTTGAAAAGAAGTCGGTTAATGCTGCATTAGGTTGGACTAGAATCCAAATAATTTACTGCCATCCATCTATCATAATGGATGAACCCTGAGCAAAGCAAAATAGTAATGGCCCATGACTATGAGTCTCTTGTAATGTCACAGAGGGTGAGGTGCATGTGTTTTTAATTTCTCACAACTAGCCAAATATGGTAGTAATTATCAGGTCAGAGAGAGGACTGAGAAAAAGCAGGCAGCAAACATTCTCTGGCACAACTTAATAAAATAGCAGTTCCACTCCCTCTTGCCCCAATGGTACTTTTTGGTTGCCTCTGTCTGTAAGGACGCTGGTTTGGCCTCCTACCCCTGTTTTCCCCTGCTTGGCCCATCTTACACTTCGAATGACGTAGTACAGCCGAAAGGTACGGCCTGAATATAGGGGGTCATAAAATAGATACTGTTAGCTGTCATTTGGAGCGTCATAAGCAGGCCATGTCAATAAAGGTGTGACACGTTCAGCTTCGTTCCAGGCCAAACTGCGGATGCACCCTGATGGTGGGCCTGATGTGAATATACATGTATATCACACAGGTGACGGGAATACTACTGATATATATGTTCACGCTTTTAGGATTTGCAGTTAGTTTGTTAAAATACTGATTGTAGGATATTCAGAAGTTTAATGTACGAAGACCGACAAGATATTTTTGTTGTCTTAATTTTAATAATCCGTTAGGTAGTCAAGGAATGTTTGTCAGTTTTTTCTTGTTATCTCCTTGACAGTAATTTCCTGCACTGTATCACAACACTACCACACTATACGTGTATAACCATTAAAAAGTGAAGAATATTTGAACTCAAAATCATGTTGATTATCAATTCCTGTCCATTTGTAGAATTAATCAATGAATCTTACAGATGCCTAGGAGCCAACATTCTAACATGAGTGAATACAAACACATTTGTTTTTTATTCACTCCTGCACGCATGCACTTATGTAATCCCACATTTTTGAGTTATACAAATATGAATTTCAATACAATTTATAGAAATTTATATAAGATCTGATTATATTTTGCATCACATTGCATATGTTTTAAAACAATGTGAAAAAGGAGTTATACTTGAAGCTCAGGTAATGTACTAATATGGCAGTATTTTCAGTTTGTGCATTATTATTGACACGATTATAGTTTGGAGTAATAAGCTGACAGCTTATTACCCCAAGATTATAGCAATGCACTCTGATAATAAATATCTGCTTTGTTATGCAATGCATTTAAGACTGAACTTACACACCACTGTCAAAATCCTGCTACACTGAGCTGAAGTTTATAGGTCGATGGAATTCAACAATTACTGTTGTCCACATACTCTGTTGACTTCCATGTTACCATGTTAGTTCACTTCTTATGTCATACTGTAAAAAAAGAAAGTGCTTGTTCACAGAAAATACATTGGGACCAAGTGTATAAGGTACATTAAAAACACGTAACAAGGCGCGAAATTAGCACCGGCCTACCGGCATATGCTGGCAAATTATTGGCGAACCAGTAACATTGGCAAAACACCGGCCCACCGACCCGGTGTTTTCAGCCGTGTTAGCGAGTACCTACATTTTTATTTATAGCATTAATTAGCAAATAGCCAACATTACTGTTTTACCTGAACGATATCACGCCATAATTTATCATCATTTTACAAATTTGAAATCGAGAATGCAAGCATGAAACATGACATTGATTTTACAAACAAAATTTGTGATAGTTGGTACATTATGGTGAGGGCTGGTAAAAAAATTGCTGTTACCAGCCCTCTGGGCCGGTGTAAAAAAATCTTAATTTCATGCCGTGTGTAATTAGTGGTTTTGCTATTCATTCCTTTCACAGCTAGCATTCTGCGTATTACGATTACACACCTATCTATGAGCGACTCTCGCATCTTCGTCGCAATTGCGGATGGATGTTGATCTTGTAGTTTAAAAACACTTTCAACGACTGAGAGCTCTGTACTTGTAGTGTCAATGCCACAGAATGCGCACCAATCATTGACAACCATTCCGGCACCAATCACATCACTACCTCGGTTGACAGTTCCAGCCTACAAGAAGAATTCAATCATATCATCACGAAATAGGTGTAAATGCCATGTAGAACAATTGGCTGCAGGCACAAGGCATTACATAATATTTAAACATGAATACACCGCATATCAGCTATTACATTTCTAATTACATAATTATAGACACCGACAAACGAACAACACAGGCATCAAATGTTGACATACTTTCCAAACCAGTTTCACTATTTTTACTACAAGTATAGAAATAGCTTTCATGGACTAAGATAAGTGAGAGCTCTATGTAATGATTTGTATTGATCCATTTTACTATTTATATTTAACAAATTATATAAAACCATGTTTTTATAACTTGATGAGTTTATAGATAACTTGGATACACTGACTGAACAATGTACTCATCATTATTACCCTACCACTAGAGGAACTTGAATGAGTGATGATAGTTCATCTTGATCTTCTACTGATGTCTTTGGGTGAACCTACAAAATTTCAAGTACTTCTTTTACAGATTACCATTGACAAAATTATGCAGTGTGTAAAACCGAAATAAGTTAAAAGTCGCTACTTGTGAAACACCTATCTACATTTACTCCTCGTACAATTATTCCCGAACATTACAATTCCTACAATACAATAAACTTGTGCTTTTATTTCATGCTTTTACATAGATGCTTTAAGTTATGTTTTTATGCTTCCTACAAGTCAAACGTTTAACAGTGTCTAACTCTTCTACTGTACTTACCAGACCTCCTTGGTTACTTAGAGCACAGTAGCTTCCGACCAAGACATTGTCAGCCAATGTTTGCCGAAATACTTCCACCTTTAGAACGTCTGCTAACAATTCTTCTGTTTCCTGCATGGACATTAAATGTGGGTTTATATCTTGCAGTAAGTAGGAGTGATATTGATTTCATATCATATATTTCATATAATTTACACACATTAGTAGTTTAAATCAATAATAGTAGCGCGCAAAATTAGCGCTGTTTTGCTGGCGGCCGCCGGTTCAAACCCTCGTATAATCTTGTCTATCTTGCCTTTATATCAACAATATTTACCTATTTCCTGACTAGTTTTTACTTCACTAAGACTACTCTACTTCTTAATATAAACTGTGCAAATATATACTATGAATATGCCTAATAAACACAAAACTAATACTTTTATTAATTATGGAATAAATTGAACAAAATTAAGGGCCTGTTCAAACTTGTAAGGGCCTGTTCAAAATTTTGGGTGGGCCTGTTCACATTTTGGCTAATTTCATGCCTTGATAATAACAAATGGATATAATCATGTATGACAAAAAACACAAATACATGTCTCAGCACAGATTGGCCATTCTGAGTGTACACGTTTCCACATCCATAATAACTAGGAATACGTGTGTGCATCTGTGTCTGTCTGTGTTTGTCTGTCTGTGTGTGTGTGCATGTGTGTGCTGGATATAAATGGTTAGAAAATGTGTTACAATATATATGTGAAGGTCAGCACACAATTGCTGACCAGTGGCACACTACACATACAAATTCAGATGGCATGACGGGGTTAGAACAGTCATGTAACAATGCTTTTCAGTCTTTATATTGATGTAGTAACTTTAGTAGTATGGCTAGTGGTTTTAGTATTTGACCAAACAGTTTCATTTTGAATTTTCTGTGGAAAAAGGTGAGGAATACCCTATCCAGATCCGGATGCACCAATGCCACGTAATCGTTGCATGCAATAACATTTCCTAGTGCCGACAATTTTTCCTCAACTCGCTGAATTTTCACACTATCGGGTAGAGAATTTCTCATTTGTTGCAATTCCTGATCTGTGGTAGAGCTGGGGACAAGTAGACCATGCCTATTTCCTAGAAACAAAAAATGACAAAATAATTTACGTTAATGAATTTATCAGCAGTAAGAATGCAGTTACAAACAAGCAACACGCACTCAGATTAGTAATAGCCAACCTGAAATTTTATCATTATATAAATTTGGTCATTCATATATACAGTTCCCAAACAACACGTATAACCAAACTGGGCAGCTAGAAAATATATAGTACTGGGCAATAATCTAAATTAAAATTGAATGGAACCTTGAATACTTGGAATATTAGAGAAGTAATTCTGCATTACAATCACTAACAAGGTAATAACTGGTACCAATAATTTTATAATCAATACCAATTGTTCAAATACCAGTTTTCTACGCTTATTCAAAACACAAGTTCGACAATAATAATTCAAATCTAGTTTTACTAACCAACACATAGCCTCCCAATTATCCGACAGCCTGCAATGGAAGTGTGTACGACTGGAATAATGTCTGACAACTCCCCTTCAAAGACACTGAAATTGCAAGATGGTGTTGTAGGTATGTATAGTTCCTAGCCAAACTAATCAACTTGTCAGGCTGCAAGACTAACATTAATACAACAGTACAAAGACAGGAGAACAACATAGACATAATAAACAAATGATCAGTACACGAATGAAAGTGTCAATGACACTGTAGCTCACCACAAAAAAGGACACAAATGAGTGAGTGAGAAGAAGTCAGTTTTAATTGAGCAACCATCGACGTACATTATAGCAACGAAGAGTATATATGGGAGAACTCCCATTATATACTCTTGATAATTATATGTGTAATTTTTTATGTGAAAATAATAAATAATATTATATATAAATAATAAATAATTTATAAACCAAAATGAATCACAATTTGTGACGGTAGATGGCGCTATACCTGCTTTGATGTTTCTTAGCATAAATCATTATATCATAATACTAATACTATTATAATAATAGTATAAATCATAATATGTTCATAGCAGGAATTTTGCATTAAAGATATTGTCAATGAAATCTTGTAAAACGAACCAGACGAGTGTGACACCACAGACTTTTTGTTATCTGCGTGTCTATATAATATGCTATATAAGTGCCAAACCCTACCTAATTTGCATAATTTTTTTTAAATATCAAAACCCCTATCCCTTATTCATTCACATACCAAAAATGAGCAAAATCCGTTGAACCTGAACTGACTAATGGCAATTCCCATTTTTGGCAAAAAATTGGGGACGATGTCAAGGTGAGCTAAATGAAAGTGTCAATGACACTGTAGCTCACCACAAAAAAGGACACAAATGAGTGAGAAAGAAGAAGTCAGTTTTAATTGAGCAACCATCGACGTACATTATAGAAACGATTGCCATCTGTATATCGCAATAATAATTTATAAACCAAAATGAATCACAATTTGTGACTGTAGATGGCGCTATACCCGCTTTGTAGCGATGGCGTTTGAAACAAATAGGTTATGCTGCGTTCCGACATGTTTTATAAATCTTTACTCTAATATAGACGTTTTATTGGCAGGGTGGAGAGGAAATACCAATTTTGCATTAAAGATATTGTCAATTAAATCTTGTAAAACGAACCAGACGAGTGTGACACCACAGACTGTTTGTGCCTATATAATATGCTATATAATTGCCAAACCCTACCTACTTTGCATAATTTTTTTTAAATATCAAAACCCCTAGCCCTTATTCATTCACATACCAAAAATGAGCAAAATCCGTTGAACCTGAACTGACTAATGGCAATTCGCATTTTTGCCAAAAAATTGCCGTGGCTCGAAAGTACGTCGACTGGCGTGCTTCAAAAAAGGACGTTTATTATGGGAGCATAGCAGTAACAACTATACCCAATTTCAAACATGTGGGCCAAACGGTTCCTGAGTTATCGTTGACCGAAGCGAAATGTTGACGGACGGACGTACGACGGACGACGACCCATGGCAATAGCTCAGCTTGACGATGTCAAGGTGAGCTAATAAGCACATGCGTTATTGTTATTATCTTTAATTTTGAACCTCAGACTGCGGACTCCCTCTTTCTGAGTGTAGGGAGTCCGTTGGACACCCGTGTTCAGAAGTTAATTTCTACCCCTGCTAATGTCTTTTAAAATGCTTATGTACTCTACATTGTTAATAGTTCCAGGTTAATGCCATTCAATTAAACCTATACAACACACAATCTCACTGCATGGATGTCACTGTGCACAAACTCACAGAATGATCGAACAGGTGGTAAACTGTGAGTGCAAAATTCAGACAATGCTTGATTCGTTTCCAGGGTTCTTGTTAATAGCCGGTAACCGGTTATTTTTACCGGCTATCGCGCAATTTGTTACCGGCTATCAATTTGAGAAACTCCCACTAAAGACGGTAAAATATTTAATCCATATTTGAAAAAACGAAGTTTATTTTAAATACTTCCAACCCAAAACTAACTCTGTGCACGGGCGGGTTTTTCTTTTTATAATAGATACTTAATAGCATATATTTTCCTATCTAAACTACCAAATTCTAGAACCCATACCCATCAAAATAGGCTATTTGTGGGTCAAATCAGAAATTTTTATTCCGGGGGTGCATGCCCCCGGACCCCCCTAGCAGGGCTTCGCGCCTTCGCCGCTCGCCCTACCGTCCGTGCCGGAAAAACAGTTACCTGCTATTCATTGTCAAATTACCTGCTTTGTCAAAAGTTAACAAGAACCCTGCGTTTCACACTAAATCACAAACCCGTGGTGCTGCCGCCAGTCAAGTGCAGGTACTTAAGCCCGACATAGCTGCATATTTGTGATTTTAGTTACTCTGCGTTCGATAAACAGCATAATTTGAACATAGTAATTAGTATAAGTCGAGCATGATTAGACAGTGGCCAGTTAAAGACTGGACGTTTATGTGCCAGCTACTAAGCTAGTAGTTGTTTTTTATTGTGTCGTGAGCTACAGCTTGTCTGATCATGCTGCAGAGACACTACCGTTTCCTCGGCCAACGACAGTTAAAGTTTGGGACCCCGCAAATGTGTTTTTGCAAATGTGCTAAACTAGACTCGGGCGCCCCCTTTTCGGTTCAAGGATAGAGAACATGGGTCCCAATAAAACCAATGTAATTTACATCAATATAAATATAATATTACATCAATATAATAGGTTAGGGTTATGGTTAGGGTTAGGATTAGGGTTAGAGTTAGAGTTAGGGTTAGGATTAGGGTTAGAGTTAGAGTTAGGGTTAGGATTAGGGTTAGAGTTAGGGTTAGGATTAGGGTTAGAATTAGGGTTAGGGTTAGGTTTAGGCACATTGGTTTTATTGGGACCCATGTTCTCTATCCTTGGGCCCCGTTTTCTAGCAGCGTTTGCAGGTCGTATAACGCTGTACTGACAGTGTATCATGACATGAACAAATGGCTACAGAGGTATAGTGTGTAGTACTAGTAGTAGGACTACTGTACTATTAGTAGTAGTCTAAGTAGAGTTATAACTTATGAATACGAATTATGATTGATCATGTTGATAAAGAAAGCATTTGATTTGACTTGAACTGAAGTTGATGTCGCATGTCGACAAATTTAGAAAAATGACATCCGTTCACATCATGCAGTGAAACAATATTACCGCTGTATGGAAAATAGGTTATATACATCATTACATGTCCTTACCTATAGAAGTTTTCAGAACCTCCGATTGCAACCAAGCAGTAGGTGTTTGTGAGCTTCGCGAATACACCAACTTCATTATTGTTTTCGAACTGCACACGAACTGCCATGCTTTTAATCCAATCGGTTAGCTTTTAAAATGGTCTATGTTTCCAAGAAAATGAAGCAGTACGTCGAGATAATGAAATTTAACTAACGCTACAGCAACAAACTTATGTATTATGAAATTGTTGCTAAAAGTGGTGTAACTTCGTCGACAAAATAATGAACATGCGAGCAGAGCGAGTTTACGTTTCAGCGCTAGCGCCATCTCTCGCTAATAATGTTAGTTATTATTTATTTCGAATTTTATTTTATAATTTTTTATTTGCACCGTCATTTGTTCAGCGGTATTAGCACAAGACGACGTAAATACCATAAGTACTTTGCACATGAAAAACCAGAAATATGCTAATAATGTAACATGTAGACAGACTGTTCTGGTGTGATTAGCGTACCAAGGGGGTTGACAACTTCACACTGTTCTAAGATGCTATGAAACTTAAAATGAGCAACTTTGTTGAGACGTTGTAAAATGGAACGTTGGATTTAAACTCCGCTTGCACAAAAATTGCTCTGTGTCTGCAAGCATGTGACTTTATGCGAACGTGTGCATGTCCGTGCGTGCGTGAAAAATGCTATCATTATCTAGCTACATCTATCATAGATGATAGATCGATCGAGTCGCCAGTGTTGTAGTCGAGTCCGCACCCCCCGAGTCCGAGTCCGAGTCCGAGTCCGCACCCCCCGAGTCCAAGTCCGAGTCCGAGTCCGCGTCACCCAAGTCCGAGTCCGAGTCCACACCACCCGAGTCCGAGTCCGAGTCCTGTTTTGATTAAAAAAAAAAAGAGGGAAAAATCGGAAAAATTTGATTTAAAAAAAAAGAGGGAAAAATCGGAAAAAGGAAAAAATCGGGAAAAAAGAGAAAAAATCGGAAAAAAAGAAAAAAAGGGAAAAGATCGCAACAGTGCATCGTAGACATTCGAAAGTGTATAGCGATGTTTCACGTGACGTCATAGATCAGGTCACGTGTATTTGTTATGTGTTGTGGTTGGCAGAAGCGAAGCGTGCTGCTTGACATTTACAGATGAATGACCACATGTTGTGATAGAAAGCGCTGTTTATGTAGTGCACGTACACGTGCGTGACGCACACACGCACGCATGCACGCACGTGTACGTGCACACGCACGCACGCAGGGCGTGCATGCGTGGGAACTTACACGTGCGTGCGTGCGTGCGTGCGTGAGCACGTACACGTGCGTGCGTGTGCACGTACACGTGCGTGCATGCGTGCGTGAGTGCGTGGGCACGTACACGTGCGTGCATGCGTGCGTGCGTGTGCACGTACACGTGCGTGCATGAGTGTGTGCGCGCGCTGGCCGGTACACGTTTCGTGGCGTGCGTTGTCGCGTAGGTGCAGGTACACGTGTGTTCATGTGTGCGTGCCGTGCGTACGTACGTGGTGTGCGGTACAGCGTGCGGCGCGTGCGTGCGTGGCACTTACACGTGCCGCCGCAGCGTGTGCACGCTACACGTGCCGTGCATCGCGGCGTCGGTGCACGTACACTTGCGTCGCACTGAGTTGTGCGGCGTACACTAAAGCACGGTACGCGTGCGTGCGTCGTGCGTGCGTGCGTGCGTGCGGCGTGCGTGTGAACTTACACTAGCTGCGTTGTCGTCGTCGTCCGTGTGGGCAACGTACACGTGCATGCGTGCGACATGCGTGTGCAGCGTACACCGTTCGTCGCGTGCGTGCGCTGCATGCCGTGGCGTGCGTGTGCAGGGTACACGTGTAGTGCATGTGGCGTGCGTGCGTACGCTGCGTGGTGTGCGCGTAACACCCCTGAACCGCGGTACGTGCGTGCGTGTGGCGCATTCCTGACACCGTGCGTGCGTGCGTGTAAGGCGTGCGTGGTGCGTGCGTGTATGCGTGCGTGTGGTGTGTGCGTGCGTACGCGCGTGGTGCGACGTTATGACGGCCGTGCGTGCGCCGGGTGCATGCGAAGCTGTGCGTGCGTGGCACGACACGTGAGTGCATACGAGGTGTTGGCGTGCGTGACGTGTGCTGTAGCTCGAAGCATATCCGCATCTGTCTTGCTGCAACTGCGCACGAAAACTACAGAAGACACGAAGCTCATACGAAACGTGTCAAAAAGTAACGGACCATTTCTGTTTGATAGCGCGCAATGACATCGCCTTGTTGATACCAAATTAGAGAGCTGCAGTACCTTCGAAGTGGTAGAAGAAGAAAAGAAGTGGTAGGAAAAGCGCAAAGGGACGAAGTGACAGCAGATTCAAACCAAAGGAACAAGCATCTTAATCGAGCCATTGAAAAAGTTACAAGATTAGGCCGTGTATCTAGAAAACCTAAAAGTTTTAGTTTTAAATTCTTGTAAACTGCGTCGTGTTACAATATGTACAGTTGTGTACTATGTATGTAGTGGCCTCGAGCCGGCCTCGACCCGAGTCCTCGAGTCCGGAGGGCTCGAGTCCGAGTCCGAGTCCGAGTCCGAGTCATTGCACTCCGAGGCCAAGACCGAGACCGAGCCCAAGGAAAACGGTCTCGAGGCCAAGACCGGCCTCGAGACCTACAACACTGAGATCGACGTTAGATTTGTTCCATTTCCGTTTCTGCAAATTGTATCTATTACGTTACAACTGTTGTAAAACATTTTTTCAAAACTAAAACCATGAAAATAAATATAGTCGCTTTTTGACACACCAATTACCAATTTCAAAGGAACTTCGGTGGATTGTCTGTAATCACTTACCGTCAGCTGGGGCTACTTTGAACACTTTCCAGATAGTTTAAAAAAAATCATTGCACATGGTATAATGAAATCGTTGAATAGTGAGCTATATTGGGGCTATACCTGAATCAAAAGAATGGTTGTATAAATTATCAGATTGGTTAAAGTGATGTGATAATTTTTTTTTGATTTTTATCTGTTCAAAGAAACCCCTGTGTTAGGGGCTATTTTGAACATTGTGTGTACTTCTGTGTGGTCTGTACTTGTGAAAGTTTGCAGGATGCTAATTTTTTTACAATTTCAAGTCAGCGATTTGCAATTTACTGCGGGACTCCTATTTCATGTATTAAATATTCAAATACATTGTAAAATATTTTCCAGATTGCCCATATAGCCATAATTCTCATTTCATCTTTTTTGGCCCGGGGTGTTCAATGTTGCCCCGATGTTCAAAGTAGCCCAAGCTGACGGTACCCATTTTCACCTCTACCTTACATTACTGAAAGCTGAGAACAAGAAAGGAAGCATATAATAGGTGGAAATGGGCATTAGATGGATTTGATCATTTTACTGGAATATGGGATCATCTGTTGACTGATAGTTGGTATCAAGAGCGTATAAAGAAGGTTACCTTCTTAATACGCTCTTGTTGGTATCATTGCTTGATGTTATACCTTATTTATATGTTATGATTGAGAATATTAATGTATCCAACACAGAATTATTGAAGACGGAATGAATTTAAATTTATAATAAAATAATAATTTTAAAATGGAAATTAAAAAGATTTTGAGATAAAAATATATTGACGATAAAAAGATCAAAGGGAATTAACAAGTACCGCAGTGCGACAGGGCTCATCTGGTGTCTGGTGTTCTGCTGATAAATTCATTTGTGCATAGCAAGACGTCTTATACATAAGTCTTCTTTATTCTTGTTTGACTTTCGTAGCCAATTGGAACAAATATATCAGCTATACTTTCGCACCCACCTAATCTCTATGCATTGCAGACACATGTGCATTGCAGGTTGGCAGGCAACAATTATGATTAGAAGCGTGCCAGCCATGGGCTGCCCCGTGTTTTTGCCTACCCACACAAGCATTCACTGATCTAAAATCTGCCCTCTGCCCCAATGACCTTTGACCTCCAATTTCGGCACAGTGATGGCTTTTCCTACCATGATGCTATACACCGACTATCACGAGCCTAGGTCGAGCCGTTTAGATTTGTGCCGCAATTCTGCATTTCCTCCCTATACCTTAAGTTAAGGAGGGAATGTTCCCCCTTCTTTTACACCTCTTGACCTTTGACCCACAGCTTTGACATCCCAACTCGTTTTCGGATTACCCCCCCACGTCCCAAATATCGTGACCGTACGTCGACCGGTTAAGATTTGTGCCCAACTGTTGACGGACGCACGCACGAACGGACGGACGCTCATGCGATTCTACAAGCTGCATCTGACTATGTCAGATGAGCTAAAAATAAAGAAAATCTAATGGAAATATCCATTGGCATCTGGGCTACCATAATATAATAGGTATTGCACTTGTAATTTTGAATGTGATTTTTTATTCACCACAGATTGAAATTCTATACATTTATCTTTTTTATAAAACTGATAAGTTTCATTCCACTAACAGATAATGTGTGTGCTTTGTATTTTGCAATACAGTCAATGATTTTTGGATTTTGCATATTCATTATGACAGCTACATATATATTTCAGTAATACAATCGAGTACTGGAAAATCCTGGGACAACTCATTCATGGTGACACTCAATAAAAGAAACCCTATAAAAAACATCGTATAACTATAGCATGAAACGGCAATATCAATGTACATACGCTTCTTCATTAACACTGAAGCCTTCTTGATTTGGTTACTGCTTACACCTTTAGCTGATTTTGGTTAAAATAGTGTTGGTAAACATGTTCACAGGATGGGATGCTACTGCAGGTTTTGTCACATGGGACTGCACCCCAATGCCTTTCAAATACAGCCACAAGGAAAGCTTTTCTCAAACCATGGCTAATAGTTCCTAACTCCTAACTGCAACACAGCCCCTGATAGCTGTTCTGTGCTGCGATGTCCGGTGCACAAACATGGCATAAATAGCTGGATGCCAATAGTTAACGGAGACACAACAACACCGAACTCATGGCCATGCCATCTCACTGTCTTCTGTTTGAAGCCACCACACTGTCTATTTATACACGTTCAACATCAGAAACAACAGCCTCATGGCTGCTGCTTCTTTCGCTTTTTCAGCGATGGTTTCTCGAATGATTGCTTCATGCCACCTGCGTGGGCAGCCTGGAACTTCAGGTTTTGCGTCGTGTCTGCTGTCCACGGCGCATCAAACTGAGTCGTATCCTGGTCGACCAAATGCGTGTACTTAGTACGTCCAGAACGACCGAAGTTCTTCACCTGAAAGATAATAGATTGTGGCAGGGAAAAATACTCAGGTGTCAAATTACAGCAATTTAATAATAAAAACCTACCTAAATCCAAGTAGGGCAACAACAACAGCAATGTTTTATTAATAATATTTAGAGGGGCGTCCTCAATTATCAAAATTATCGCACGTTTACTGACATCATAGTTTATCATTCCCATCCTCTTAACATGTACACAATAAAATCTTGATTTTTCAGATTTAGTCAGAAGGTACGAATTGTCCCCGTTTCCCCAACAGATGGTTTGTGCTTATACAAGCAGTAATGTGGGGCATTAGATCAACATATTAGGAGCACATAAACGCAGACATGTGGTTAAAAAGTCTCAATCTTAAGAAAGTTTAGCAATATAGTAAACCAACAAACAGCACCATACCTGCATAACCTTTGGCAAAATCGTTTTGTCAAAGTGATCCTCAAGTGTTGCCGATGAGAAATCTTGCTTAAGAACAGTATCTTCTTCATCCTAAATATATGATAAAAAGTTCAAAATGACGTGTATTGTAGAAACAGCCAATCGCCGTCTGAAATTCACAGACAGAATTAAAACTGTACCTTCACATTATCTTGTCATTTAAAAACACCTGACTGTAATGAGCTACTATTATACTATATGCATAACGTTTCAAGGTACATAGTTCTGGACAGATGATAAAAGAAAGTGCTTGTCACAAGAAAATAGTGTTTATTAAAAGCTATTGATTACACGTTTTTGATACATGTTTATCGTACTTACCAAATAAAAAGCACCTCGGTGAAAGTACTTTTGTAAAAACTTGTATTTTCCTTTTGTTGCCTTGTTGGTGACAACTTTTGGGTTCATTCTTAATTCTGCTCTACGCTCTTCCTCTGTCATATTGTGGTAACGTTCGACTTCCAATTTTTCACGCTCATTTCTATAATATAAGACAGTCGGGTTTTCATTATTTAATGCAATACTCTCAATTCCACCAGTCTTTCCTTTGGGTAATCTCTGTTGGGCCAGAAGAAAAGGCAAAATAAAAATTCAAAGAGATAAACCAAAAAGGGTAAAAAAGAAATCATGCCATAATGGCATGTGCAAACTTTTGCTCTCTGGCCACACAAAACACAGACTAATTTTCAAATGACTCTATCTATTAGTAATGACCAAAATCTAATGACTGCAAACAAATGCAAACTACCCTCTAGGCAAAAAGTACTTTATAGTTTGATTACTGCCATGCCACGCTAAGAAAGAATTGATACGCACGCTTCACGTTCATCCTTGTCACGCTTAATCCTCTTTAGCTCACGCACTTTCCAGGCTTCATACTCGGCTTCATCATTCTCATCATCGGTGTTGACGAGAGCTACAGCACTCTTCAAGTCCTTCTCTGCCATCAGCTCTTTCCTGGCTTCATCTTCCACGATCTAACCAAAACAGAAATGGATGAAATACATAAATATTCTGCGACCTAACAAAGACAGAAATAGATGAAAATTTGCTCGAGTTCTGTAATCTAACTAAGACATAAACAAGTGAAAGTTAATTAATCTTTTATGATGTAATTAATAGAGCAATGGATAATAATTCATTGATCTTACATGATGTAAGCTATACAGAGATGAATTATAATACTATAATAACTAGAAAGGGCAGTTGTCGCCAACTACATGTATCCCCCGTGTTCTCCCCAAGATGTGTAAGTATACAAAGTTTGGTCACGCTAGGTCAATTAGGGGCCAAGTTATAGAGTGGAAGGGAAATATGATGAAGGTCAAGGTAAAGGTCTAATAAAGGTCGCAGTGACCAGGTTTTGGGACGCTGCTCACCTTCTCCCCAAGATGTGTAAGTATACCAAGTTTGGTAGCGCTAGGTCAATTAGGGGCCGAGTTAGAGCGGAAGGGAAATATGATAAAGGTCAAGGTAAAGGTTAAATAAAGGTCACAGTGACCTGGTTTTGGTACGCTGCTCACCTTCTCCCCAAGATGTGTAAGTATACCAAGTTTGGTAGCGCTAGGTCAATTAGGGGCCAAGTTATAGAGTGGAAGGGAAATATGATGAAGGTCAAGGTAAAGGTCTAATAAAGGTCGCAGTGACCTGGTTTTGGTACTCTGCACACCTTCTCCCCAAGATGTGTAAGTATACCAAGTTTGATCACGCTAGGTCAATTAGGGGTCAAGTTATAGAGCGGAAGGGAAATTCTCTGCGGCGGACCGAGCGGCGGTGGCTGGGGAGACATGAAACCATAGTATCCCCGCCGACTTCGTCGCGGAGGATACAATAACTAGAAATATACGGTGATTGAATTTACCTCAGTATAAATAAATGATTCCCACCTCAAGATAATGTATTTCGGTGTAATTCTCAGAGATAGCATTTAATATATAAACTAGAGCACTCAGAGAGCACAGACCTCCGCCAAGGCAGCTGAATTATCTCAATGTGAAATTTTTTATTAATTAATTAATTAATTAAGTGGAGCGTGCAGGTGGGGGAGGACTGTGGTTGCCCCTTAGCCTGTGGTTGCGTGTTTGTAAGTCTACAGCCAGCGCACCTAGCAGAAGTGAACTGAAACGTGCATGTTCACAAACCCACAAACACACAAACCAACACTTAAACACACGCCGGTGAAAACATAACCCCCGCCAAGCCCCTGGCGGAGGTAATAAATCACAGAAACATATTGTAAACTTGTGAGTTTCACATCAATTCTCAAATAATGGCAGGTACTGTGTGGGTGTACGTAGGTGTATGAGTGGGCATGTGTGTGAATACTGCTAAAAGCTGCGTTGCTGTGAAAAACACCAGTGGCACTTAGATTATCAACTCACAGGTGTCCTCATGGGGTGCCAAAAAATATCCATTAACAGTAATAGTAAGTATGAATTTTTGCTATAGCACCATATACTTGTATCATGGCAATCATATTAGGCCTAAAAATTACGCAGTAGAAAAATAATCAATTGTTGCCAAGCCAGTCAGCATCCCATGGGACGATGCTGACAGAGGGGATATGTGCAGGGCATTGACTGCCATTTCAATTCGGCAACAGACAGCAGAGTAATAATTGGAGTAGTACAATAATCAGTTATAATAGCATCGGTTATACCATGCCAATTTACTACATTAAGGCCTAAGAAATATTCAGGAGAGCAAGAATAAATTCTTGTCAAGCCAGTCAGCTTCCCCTGGGACGATGGTGACACAGGATCATCATATATGTGAAGAGCATTAGCTGCCATTTCAATACAGGCAACAGGCACCAAAGTAATTGGAGTGGTACAACGATGAGCCGTAAGTTCCTTGGTATACTCCGAGCGAGAGACAGCGCGTAGGCAGCAGTCGGGAAGCCATCATTGAGTCTGTGCTCGCCCTGCCATCAGGGTGCAAGCGAGAGACAGCGAATAAATAACAGTGTTGCACTGACAAGGCCGACAAGACAAGGCTGCATGAGCTTCTATCACCGTAGCAGATGATGACGATGCTTGCTCTCCTGCTGTTAGTCTGCTCACTGAAGTCAGTCTGTGCGCTAACTTGTCACGACTGGGATGGGGCAACACTAGGATCCAACGCTGCGTTTCAAGGGAAAACAATCAAGGACAACGAAATTAACGGTACCACGCCTTTGACGCTGAGGTATGTAGAAACGATCGGTTGTGATTTTGTTACATGAACAGTATTGTGCAACCAATTTAGTTAAACAACTTATACAACTTATTACACGATCAAGCTGATGTGCTTACCAAGACCTTTTCTGTCAGCGTATCGATAGCTCTTCCCCTTTTTTAAATAAACCTCAGCTAAACGACTATATAGGACATCATCTAGCAGTTGTGTATTTGCATGCACTATCTCATATTCACTGGCTCACATACCACAATTGTTAGTATAGTCGCAGCATTAACACACTTCGTTTAATCCAGTTCCAGCCGTAACAGCCTAACGTGTTTGGCAACCTGCATAAACGATCCAGATTGCTTCTCCGTCAACTACCAACAAGAAACTAGGGAATGCAAGAAATTCTCTGATGACTGGTACCGAGCTATGCCCAAGTTAGTTAACTCCACTGGCTGGGATTTCCTCTATCTGGTAAGCTAGATCAGATGTCATAGGCTGTTTTGTTACTAGTTAACTAGTACTTTCAACACTATGATATTGTCTTGAAATGAGAAATAACCAAAACAACGTTCCGATGCAGATGGATAAAGCTACACCTCTGGGCATGATTGACAAAACTATACCAGATGAGGCTCTATTGGGACAAAAAGTCAAACGCCCCATAGGATTTGCGCGACTTGGTCAAGATTATGCGTGGGGGCCTCTTATAAACCAGAAGATGACAGTAGACCTGGGATCAATAGCACAGATGGTTGGAATTACACACAAGGTGAGGTGTACAGTACAATTCCACAGCATGCCGTAAAAAACGAAATATATTTGTGGCCAACCTTGCATAATAGAAGCAAGCTAGTAATTCAACTTTCATCCTCGCAGCCGATTTCATCTGAGAGATTTTGTTGCTTTTGTCACTTTCAGGGATGCAAGTCATGCACTATTGCGAGATGGCTTGAAAAGTACACTCTGTCATATTCCTTCGATGAAATCAGCTGGGAAGATTTGCCGGTAAGCTAATTGCACGTAAATAACCAACGCGGATAACATCAAATAGAAAGTTCTGTTTTACCCACTACTAAGATTTGATCTTTTTAACGTTTGTAACATACCTGGAAATAAAGAAATTGTAAAAAAAAGATTTGATCTTGATTAAATACTTTCGGTTAGAGCTGTGAGAATGTCCAGTCATCTAATGGATATACAACAGTGGCACTGTCGTAAGCTGCTTGCAACTTCTTACAGGAGCTGAATGGTAACACCGATACAGACACCCCCGTCCACGACCAGCTTGACTTCACGGCTAGATATCTTCGTATCACCGCGGGAAAAACGTACAGTGCTAGAGAAGGCGCTGGAGGATTTCGCTTTGAGGTGTACGGATGCAGGTTAGAGTGATGTAATCATGGATCGTGCGTGTGTGAACGTGGAACGACATCATCATAACGGTTCCTGTCAGAAACCAACGGTGAACAGTTCCCGCGTGGAACATTTTACCAAATTTAGAAGTTTCACACGGTTTCACCACTAGGTGCAGCTCAATTTTTATTATGAGCAACTAGAGTTTGAACAAATTTAGGTTAATCACGTCGATCACGGTAATCGTCATCAACAACCGTGTTTAACCAGGCAGTTGTCGAGCGATGTGAACCTTGGTTACTACATGGCTGTTGTGCCATATCTCTTCTACTAAGTCTTATATGATCATTTGCTAGAAGTCTTCTACGATCGCACGATTAAGGGCAGCTAACAGTGAGCTGTTAGTCAAATTCCTTTGGCATGTGTATAATGCACGTGAGTATATAGAAGTCTACATTTGCTTTTTCGTGGGATTGAATTGATTTGTGTGTAAAGATTGCATATTATCAACTGTATAAGCAACAATGAGCTGTTTTGGCATACACTTGGCGAACGCCCTGTCAGAGGGATATAGAAAATGGTTTTCATGATTACTAATGCATATCTATTTATATATTGGGCGTGTCCTGCTGCTGCTGCTGCTGCTGCGACGCACTTGGTCGATATTACTGGTGCGTGGGTACCACTTCTACAGCATGGTTACTTAAGCTGCGTTTGCACTATAGATTTTTGTCAGCAAATCGTACCAATTGTCCATCTTGCCCCCGATGTGACCCCAATTACTGTAGTTGTATGTAGATTGCAGCACTGCAGTACTGAAACACTGCAGTAAGAAGATGGACAATGGAGGAAGAAGACGTCTGTGCGCACCTGCTTATTGCATTAATGGTGAAAAACAAAAACAAACAAAAAACGAAGAAGAAGAAGGCATTGGGTACGGCCATGAATAGGCAGAAGACCCCAATTAGGCGTTTATAACAGGTTATTACCCGAATTACTAAACGAAGACAAGGAAAGCTACCGAAACTTTCTTCGGATGTCAAAGGAGGAATTTGACTACATATCAGGGTGCGAAATTAACGGGAGTCCAGAGTCAAATACTCCCCGATTTACTGTCGGACTCCCTGATTTGACATATGCAGGCGTCCGTGTGACTCCCTGAAAATTCTGCCATACTAACTAGTTCGTTCCGGAGCACGGCCTCGCGGAATTACTGTTTTTTTTCAGATAATGTCCTGCATGAATCTTAAAAATAAGCACATGCGTTATTCTTAATATCTTTAATTTTGAACCTCAGACTGCGGACTCCCTCATTTTGCTGCGGACTCCCTCTTTTTGAGGGTAGGGAGTCCAACGAAGGTTTTCTACCCCTGCATATTATGGCAAGTTAAGCCATACATTAAAAAAACAACAACGCACCTACGTCAAAGTTCACGTATCACGTGAAAGTTTTAAGCCAATTAGATTTATCCAACTCGCCGATTTCACGCATCCGAGTCGTGCAAAATAGAAGACGTTCTATTTCTCCAACTCGGCGACTTGACTCCGACTCCGACTCGCCGTTTACACTATCGATTTTCAGCTGATTAGTTGGAATGCACTTGAAATCGGTACGATTTGCTGACAAAAATCTATAGTGTAAACTGTAAATGCAGCTTTAGACCAATCGATCGTACTAGGTCCCTATATACAGAGAATTGCGACAACCCAGGATTTGACGCCATATTGTTTCCAAATGGATCCACACTGCTGCCGCTCAAGTACAGCGCTGTATGGATACGCTGTACAATGGTCCGTAGTAATTAATTAGACTAATCGTGCTTCAATAAACTCAAAATTCACAGAGATTATAGCTAAGACATGTGTCTATGTGTATCTAGATTTCTAGAAATGTTACTCAAATCGTTCGCGCCATATGATGGTTTAATTATACACTTTCTTACCGCCCATAGCCGTGCATATATTAGCCTGTGCGATACCGCGCGTAGATACTTGCTATAATTAATTAAACCACTCGCGCTTCAATAAACTCAAGAATCACAGAGATCATAGATAACACATGTGTCTGTATGTATCTAGATATCTAGAAATGTAACTCAAATTGTTCGCGCCATAATAATATTATGATAGTTTAATTGTACACTTTCTTACCGCCCATAGCCGTGCGTATATTAGCCTGTGCGATACCGCGCGTAGATACTTCCTATAATTAATTAAACCACTCGCGCTTCAATAAACGACATATTTATTGCACTCATTGCACCCATAAGCACAGCAGCCAGTCATTTTGGAAGAAAATGACAACTGTAATTCACAAGATAAATGCGTTCCACTCTCCACTCGCTCGCGGCTGTAACATGTGTTTTTCACGTGTTGCATGAATTAGTCAGTGAAGCTATCCTAGGAGTTGTTGTAGTAATAGTCTATCTAGAGTCCCTATATACAATTTATCCCTTTGTATATAGGGACCCTAAGTCTATCTAGACACAGCGTCGCGCATCTTGTTGCGGCTGCATTGATGTTACAGGTTCTGGTTCTGGTCGCAAGAGAAAGCACACGCGCGTGTGCGTGGTTTTGTGTCTCTTTGTGCGATGTGTCTACACTTACATCCTTATATATTATATCCCTTAATTACCTTATATCCCTTTGTATATAGGGACCCTATCTACACTGTGCCTCGTCTATGCGACGAACCTTAACTCGAGTTATGCGTTAACTCGAGTTAGCGATTATGGAGCGTCTACACGACAATATAGGGATGTATCTAGGGACCCTAGATCGTACAACATCATGGCTCCATCTTCTGGGAATTTTTATATTTTTCGCATCGTTGCTAGGGGCGGCATCATTAGATGTGAACGTGGCTGAATTTTGATGCATTTCCATCGACCTTACCGCAAAGCGCTCGGTTTATAATTTTCTTACTATTGATACAAAGGTAAGCCAGATATGCAAAAAATATGCACACAAATACAGCCAAATTGGCACATTTTGTGCAGTTTTCATAGTTTCAGTGTCCCTGTCTCGGCTCTCACGCGCGACATTATTCTGACCCGTAGCCGAGGCATGCAGCGACTCGCCAAAACTGCAGATGCGCGAAGCGCCGAGGCAGCTCGTTAGAAAATAATAGGTAAATGCTTACAGCATGTTTTGACCTTGCTATGCAATTTTATCATAGCCTAATAAAGTGATTTTACAGATGTTATACCTAATAAAACTAGATTACTATGATGTAGGTGTATCGGCAAGGTGTCTTTTGAATAGGTGTATGTTAGTTGTGGGGGTGGAGAAGACTGCTAGCATTGCCGTCACCACCACCGTAGTAATAAATTACTTGCAGGTCGCGCAGGCCACGCCAAAAATAACACACGATGAGTTGTAGTAGACATGTGCACCACATGTCTACCACAACTTACCCAGAGCTGATGTAGACTACATACGTACTAAAGTCATAATAAGTAGTATCTAGTTGCACCGTATACTTGCAATACATGTCACATACATTTCTGATGGACATTTCTCTGTGAAGATTTTTCATTTCTCTGTGCTGTTGTGATTTAATTGTGTTGTGGACTAATAAAAACTAGAAACGAGCAGTTGTCGCCAACTACACGTATCCCCCGTGATCTAGTATGAATGGAATATCTGTGTAAGGACGTAAAAGGCAGGTAAAGTTAAATAAGTCACAAAGACAAAGGTTTGTTAGACAACTGGTGTGCCTCAGATGTGCAAGTATATAGAATCTGGTTACCCTAGGAGGCCGAAGAGGAAATGTAAGTCGATGGTAAAAATCAAACTAAGGTCAAGGGTAATAGTGGTTTGGTATGTGACAGACCTTCTCCCCAAGATGTGTAAGCATACCAAGTTTGGTCGCGCTAGGTCAATTAGGGGCTGAGTTAGAGAGCGGAAGGGAAATATGATCAAGGTCAAGGTAAAGGTGAAATAAAGGTCGCAGTGACCTGGTGGGGCAGTTTTTACCCGATCTCGGATGATGTTCAAATTAGGCATGAAGGTGCGTTATGGTAAAGCGAAGACGCCAATCGTTTTTGGTGTGGGCGGAGTCATCGTTACCATGGTAACAACATTTTTGTGGAAATATTGTAGAACCTGTAACTTGTGCTGTTTTTACCCGATTGTCATGAAATTTCTATTTGTATTAAAATTTATATTTAAATTTATATATAGGTATATAATGTTATATATATATATAGTATTTTGATGACAATCATAAATTTAAATACAAATTTTAATACAATGTTAAATTTAAATTTTTATTTTTAAATTTTATTTTTAAATTTTAATATAAATTTAAATATAAATTTTAATACAAATAGAAATTTCATGACAATCGAGTAAAAAGTGCAGAAGCTACAGGTTCTAGAATATTTCGTCAAAAAATGTTGTTACCATGGCAACGATGACTCCGCCCACACCAAAAACGATTGGCGTCTTCGCTTTACGATAACGCACCTTCATGCGAAATTTGAAGATGATCCGAGAAGAACTGCAGCCGGTAGAGCGTTCACAAGGAAATCTCTGCGGCGGCGGCGCGACGATGCCAAACCCAATTATAATCTAGACATAACTAATATTGCAATGAATAAAAATAATTTTGCTAATTATATGGTATTGGTATACTTTTATCGTTTGTCTCCGCCTGTCTTCACCCATTTTCTTAGCTTCTGCTTCTAGCTCTTTCTGTTTTTGTGCTTCCCGCTCTTTTTCTTGAATTGTTATCCTATCCCTCCTAAAATGTATATAATTAATTCATTAGTACACATGTAATTTTTTGTATGCAACAGAATTTTTATACAACTACCTTTAGGACTGGTTCATATCTAGTAACGTTTAATTGACAGTAGGTTTCCACTGCTACTTTTAAGAGTATGGGTTGATATATCATCATAACTAATAAATTAAATTAAAATGCTATATTTTAAAAATGACATGCAATAAAACTGTTTAGATTATGTGCTTAGAGACTAATTGCAATAAGAATTATACACATGATTTACCTACAAGATGTGGAAAAAAGTATGTACTTACACTTAGTTCTTACTTACTTTCTAACAAAAACGGGTTTGAGTCTTGGTGCTGATTCATCTTCCGAGTCAGAGTACTCTTCATATTCACTTGACTCATGTGCACTCTCCTCTCCTGATTTCTCTTCCTCTACGTCCATCAGTTCCTGAATAAGATATCTAAAACATTCAGCTACAGTTCAAGGTAATTTTTCTATGGTGTCTAAAATTGTAGCATATTAGCTCATCTAGTAATTAACCAAGTGAGACACCTAAATCGTCCTACCTCTTCTTTCTGTTTCTCTTTAGCACGTTCTCTGAGCATTCTCCTCCTCCTCTCAAGCTCCTCTTCATCTAGCTCCTCCTCATCATCATCTTCACTACTCTCATCATCAGGTCGATGTCTATGCACAACCCTTTCTTCCTCTTCCTCGTCTTCATCACTACTTCTGGCTAATACTTCAGGCCGATGAATGTGTCTGTGTCTTTCGACCCTGTATTCAGGATGAAGTATTAAAAAGTAGCAGGTGTTAGAAGTATGTGTCACACTGTTTTTGAAGGGAAGCATTATAATTGGTTTCCTCTTATAATAAATGAAACACGCTACGCAACATGATATGTCCATAATTATTATTACGTGCATCACACTCTAGTTACTTGGAACATGATTATATATACCAAACGTGCACATAATCCCAGTGAGTGAAGTTATGGTTAGCCATTCTTCACCCTTACCTCTCCTCTCTGTCTATGTGTTGCTGCTTCAGTCTTCTTAGACGTGGATCATCTTTTTCTTTCTCATCTTCCTCATCTCCTGATGGAATGTGCTCTCTAACTTTCTGGATGACGAAGTCCTCGTCTTGCTCGTCTTCACTAGATGAACCACCTGCATACTCTGGCCGTTTTCCAGACACGTATCGACTGACTTTGACTTTCTGCATCACAAATTCACCTAAAAGGGGTTTGAAAATTATTATGTAAACATATACAATAATTAATTTATAATCTCGATATTCTAACATTCGTAAACATAGGCCCAAGGATAGAGAACATGGATGATGGGTCCCAATAAAACCAATGTGCCTAACCCTAACCCTAATCCTAACCCTAGCCATAACCCTAACCTATTATATTGATGTAAATGACATTGGTTTTATTGGGACCCATGTTCTCTATCCTTGAACCTAAACATAAACAATTTACGGCACACAGTAACAATACACTGTACGTGTACGCTGTCTGTACTTGCCCTTATCATTTCTAACAGCTACAGCCCCAGCTGTAGACTGAATCGGTGTTGGTCCTGCTGGAAGCTTCTCCATGATTACTTGCAAAGCGACTAACTGCAATACTGCTAAACGATTATTCAAAGAGTGCCTGTGCACTTAGTTAGCAGTATTAATATATGGTAATGACAGTTACAATCGAAGTTGGCTGCATGTAAAATAAACTGAGAAACTGTTTATGCGACCATGACACTACTAGAGCCCGCTAGAGGACGCTGTCACGCTGTTCAGAAACAAGAAATAGATGTTAGCTAGTAAAGCTCAAACAGTTACAATTATTCAATTATTTACGTTTTGTACATTTAAAATTATAAATTTTTAGCATCATAGTGGTTACAGAAACATTTCTTAAATAAAAATAGGTCAAAAGGCGTAGTCTGCGCATGCGCGCAAATGTCAACAAATATGGAGGGTTTGAACCACGCTATGTTATTATTTTGTCAAAACAAAACAGTAAAAGCGGAGTAGTTGGTATTGAATGGGTTTTCGTTTGACGTGTGCTGTAAATTTTGTTGCTCGAAGCTTACCCCGTTGACATCATATTCTTAGATATCAGTGACATGCATCAAAAGACACCTAGCCGGCCCACTCCAAAGTTCTTTGGACAACAACAAAAATTTTCTACTAAAAAGGTTTTGTAGCTTGCTAGGCCCTAGTTAATAAGTGATACAATATTTGATTACATAATGGAAATATATTATTGGATGGTTGAGAGCCTAGGTATACGTAATACAGCATAAATATATATTATTAGTATTAATATAAGGAATAAGCACTAACAATATGAATATGAACAAACTGAAGCATTGTGACCATAGCCATAGGCATAAGGGTACCACCTATAAATATATTATGTGTCTATCTGAACCACACTATTACTTAGTGTTAGTGAATGCTAGTACAACTGTCGAACGGACACATTGTGTTATGTAGAAGGGTATGTAACCTCACAATCAAATTCATATTAGTTTGTCCAATTTCACCTTGCGTTACCTTACAAATCAGCCTTCTCAATGTTGCCTTTCCACACTCGTACGAAATATTCGGCCTGCGTTTGTACACTCTGTCACGTGACAATAATAATGAAGTTTAGCAAAGCAATGTGTGACCCGTAAATTTTAACCAGAGTAATGAGCAGAGCGTGTTTACAACCAAGCATGCGTGCACGAATGCACGCTGCAGAATCCTCTGTTACACCTGGACCGGCAGATGCGTTTTGAATTGCCAACCACTGCTTATAAATGCAGATGATTTTTAATTGAAAATTCATTAGTCTAGAAACCAGCAGTGAAATTAGGCAAACCTATGTGAACTTGGCTGTAATGTTATATGGTTATAAATGACGCAGGGTGTCAGTTATTCTAGTGTGATGTAGCATAGCCATAGATAGCCATATTCTACCTTTAAAGGGCCATTCTCCCTATATTCATTAATGTATTAAATCAAAGTAGTGCTCTATGTAAGCATTATGTCCATAAAAATATTTTTATTAATTATACTTGACACAAAAGCTGCCTTGTTCAAACCTTGCATTGCATGACGTACTTGGGTGTGGAGTAATATTTACACAGCAACTTCAGAGTCGGTCGACTCTACAGGGTATACATATATGTGTATTATTGGGGCATGAAAATGGTAGGTAAATAAGCTGATATATGTAAGCTCAGATATCTATTAACGAAAGTCAGTTGGATAAAGAGATCATTATACATGTTCTAAATTCTACTGCATTTTCTGAAGCCTTTTAATTTTATAGGGAGAATGCCATTGTAATTGCATAAAATGGAGGCTGTGGTTTATTGAATGACGTCAACCAAATTATTCAAATATATTTATAAATCATACACGTGCTATGATTTGTTGGTGGTGCTGCCAAGCTGTAATAACCATGATGGTTATTAAAGCTGCACTATGCGCATCCAAATGCTAATTTCTCCAGTACTAGACTAGCAAATACTTCGTGTCATGCATAATCACACTACCTTATGGCAAAATAAACTCTAGTTCCTCCCATTTCAGTGCGCATTTGCTTAAAGGCATAATTCGACCATCGATTATGCAATTTTAACGAATGCTACAGTAACTGGCACCTTGTGTAGTTAATAAGTACATTACCTTATAGCCAAACGCGTATTAGTTTGTCCAATATCACTGCTGGTTACTAAGAAATGTCTAATTGAAATCCGCAGTCCAAGAAATCGGTTGTTGACAGCTACAAACCGCCATGCCGGCTGTAACCGGCCAGAACTGGCGAGGCGGTGTCATACAGATTATAGTGCACCGGACATTTTCGCACGTATGCTCGGCCGTCAGTGATTTCGATCCTTGTAGTCTGAGTGCGCATTCCGTACGTTATGGTTTTACTCTTGGGATTCGGGAATAAATGAATATACGTTCTTGAGATTACAAGCAACATATAATATGTGGCAACTAGGCAAATAATAACACTAGGCAAACAATTTACCCGGAACAAACAATTCGATGCTCAACATCGTTAAGCAACATGTGACGTCACCGAACCGAACTCGATGTTTATTTTGTTGGCCATAAATTTCGCGTTGTCGCCAGATTACCAAATTTACGGATTTCAATTAGACATTTCTTAGTAATTAGCAGTGATATTGGACAAACTAATACGCGTTTGGCTATAAGGTAATGTACTTATTAACTACACAAGGTGCCAGTTACTGTAGCATTCGTCAACTTTGCATAATCGATGGTCGAATTATGCCTTTAAAACTCACAAGAAAGAGGTGCGAAATCTGGTAATCTGGCGCCAACGCTAAATTGTTTGCCAAACAATTTCGCCAAGAAACGGTTAGGTGACGTCACATGTTTTTATCTTTGCTACACGCATACCGCTGTACTGCAGCACCGCTGTGCGGTTGCTCGGCAGGGCAACGCGAAAGTGTCAACAACATCGGAGAATTTGAACAACATTGGAGGTATTTTCAAACGTCTTTTATAAGACAACGCGCAGTGAAATGGGAGGAACTAGTTTATTTTGTCATATAAGGTAGTATGATTATGCATGACACTAAGTATTTACTAGTCTAGTACTGGAGAAATTAGCGTGTAGATGCGCATAGTGCGGCTTTAAGCATATATGTTTATGTGTTAATAACTTAATATGTGTTATTCGCTAAAGCAATTGCTAAAATGTTCACTAAAACAAAAGCTTGCATTTTTCAGGAACGTGGTACTCCTAGGGATGCCCTTCCACCAAGACCGCCTGTTAAAAGTGCACCACCAATTAGCAGAGTTTTTAGTAACCGAAATGAGTTGCAACGAGCCAGAGCAGTATCGTTCGTGTCTACATCTGACTGTATCCTTTCATTTTAATTTGATTATTGCATAAACATGTGTTTGTAATGATAGATATGTTAGAGAGTGGGCTTTAATGTCTAACAGAATTATAATCAGTATGTAACCAGATTTCAGATAAATATTTTATAAAAAAACAACTCTAAAGAAATATATAATTTATATAATATTTTTTCTCAGACAGCATGTCAATTTTCTGGCCCTTTTGAATACAATCCCCCTCAAATATCTGACGATCTTTTACTTTCATAGGATAGTGATATGTGTGTACCTTATGTGGCAGTGAATTATTAGTGGCTTATTGAAGCATTAGATCTTTCAATGGGCAGCAGTCTCATTGTGTCATAGCAGCACTCAAAATCTTTGAATTTGAAACCTGGTATTATTTAATAACAAGTGAATGTATGATACCAGAAATATATAAGCAAACATTTATTATGCAATAAGTATCAATCTCTATGTATTAATCTCTTTAAATCCAGTTTCACAAAATGAAAGAATGTTGCTGAAATTCCCCTGTCCAGTTGCTTTTTATATCCCATAACACTAACTGCATTAATTCTTGATAAATTTCAAGCTCATACAATTAGTAATAATAGTAATAGATAAAGTAATATGTAATATGATATTTTATGGTTTATCGTTGTTGGTTGTATTTTACTTGTATTTTTAGCTCATCTGACGAAGTCAGATGCAGCTTGTAGAATTGCATGAATGTCCGTGCGTCCGTGCGTCCGTTCGTGCGTCAACAGTTGGGCACAAATCTTAACCGCTCGACAAACGGTCACGATATTCGGGACGTGGGGGGGGGGGGATCGTGAAAAGGACTCAGGATGACAAATTTGGGGGTCAAGGGTCAAAGGTCAAAATGTGTAAACGGAGGGGGAATATTTCCTCATTAACTTAAGGTATAGGAGGAAATACGGAATTGCGGCACAAATCTCAACGGCTCAACCTATGCTCTTAATATTCGGTGTATAGTGTGATGGGCAGGAAACCCATCACCAGTGCAAAACTGGAGGTCACAGGTCAAAGAGCAGTGGGGGAAAGGTCAGCTATCAGACATTTTCTGAGGACATGACCTAATGGACAGAGTGAAAAACTTTTTTGTTTCAGCGCTGACCTATTATTTTTATCACTTTATTGAAAGGACCATGAAATGTGCTTTCCACTGACGTGCGAAGAGTAAGTGTCTGATAACCTTTTGACCCTCAAGAGAAGGGTTAAACATGGATTCCTGAACTGCCTCAATGACGTCACAGTGTTGTCATATTCATGGCACATCCATAATCTAGAAACGCAATAAGCCTGGATAGCCGAACGCGTAGAGCACGAGCGTCACGGCTGAAAGGTCGTTGGATCAAATCCCATCTGATTTTTTATTATTTACCTGTTTTCTGTATTTTTATCTATTTAACTATTTTTCCAAATAATTTTTACAACAATTAATATATTAAAAAAAATAGGGTTAGGGTTAGGGTCACTTTGCACCATAAAACAGGAGTTTCAGGCACGCGATTTTTATCAACCAATGGGATTTGGGAGGTATACAGAATGCAGAAGGTTGCTGAAATGATGTGTACGCAACTGCGTATCTGCATATCTGCGCCTAACAATGGTGTCACTATGCACGACTTAAATGTTACGTTTATAACCATAGCAACAAACCTCAGATGAGCCCAGTCGCTCTGCGGCTCTTGTTTTTAAACCTTGTATAGCACATACAACTAATTTTTTTTCTAATTTTTTCTTCTAAATATGTTGAATTCTTAACTATTTGAAGCAGATATCAGAAGCCCACATTATAAGGAAGCAAATAAGCAGCTATATTTTGAGCAGTGTTTTGAGGTTGAATGTAAACTTGGAGAAGGGTCGTTTGGACAGGTAAAGTAAATTATAATAAATTACATAATAATTTATATCCCCATATATTTATATTATTATGTAGTTTTTCTGTGCAAAGTAATTATTCATTGAGAGTTTGATAGTATTGCTCACTGTTCAGATTGAATTTGTACTTTAATATTTCTAAATAATTTGATAGGTGTATAAAGTCAGAAGTAAGGAAGATGGCAGGTACTATGCTGTGAAGAAATCTCAACAGAAATTTAGAGGAGAATCTGACCGGTAAAATACTAATGTTTTGGTATCTCATTTACTGTATTATTGCTTTTAATGGTGTTGTAAATTATCTGCCTATATGCCTATATATATAACATATAAGATTATATGCCTATCAAATCCACACTTTTGATGATTAATAGAAAAACTAACACTGTGTTGTTTATAAGTATGTTACCTTGCCGCCAAATTCATGTTAGTTTTTTCCGATTTCAATGATAGTTACCTTGCAATTTAATAGACAGTAAGATTTCACACTGTCATTCATTGTTTGATATCTTGTGTATTTCATATATATACTAGTGTGTATTTATATTTACCTACACGTGTAGTTATCATTTGTCATTATTCAGGTTACGGAAACTGGACGAAGTTCGCAAACATGAGGTTCTGCCTAAGCATGAAAACTGCGTTGAATTTTTTAAGGCATGGGAGGAGAAGCAGCAATTGTACATACAGATTGAGCTGTGCCAAACTAGGTGATGTACATGCTGCTTTTTTTCGAATAATGTATATCCAAAATATATGTAATATGTGCATATGTGCTTACAGTGCTTATTTAGCCTTTACGGAAACATTCTGTGTTTGTTTTGAGAGATATTGGTTTTGTTATGATTTTTGTAGTGTAACAGTTGATGGGATTTTTTCATTTCCGTGGCATCTATAATCTTGATTGTTGTATTAAGTGTACCAGTGGTTTTCTTCAGCTTGAGCAACTACTCGGAGATGAATCATGATATCCCAGAAACACTCATATGGAACTACACAGTGGATCTTCTTCTCGTATGTTATTCTTTAAACTTCATTGATTTAATGCTAATTCATGAGCATGTATTATTATTTGTATGTAACTGTAGAAAAATTTCAAAAAAACTTTTAACCTTTTTAAAAGTATTTATATTCTATGTTGTATGTTACTAACACAGAAGTAAATGTGTAGATTGAGTTAAAGTATTAGTATAGCAGCTATACATAGACCATGTGTTTATAAAGCATTTCATTTTTCATTTCTCTTATATATAGGCTGTGAAGCACCTGCATGATCATGATCTCATTCATATGGACATCAAACCAGACAACATATTTGTGTCACAGGATTGTGTTTGCAAGCTTGGAGATTTTGGTCTTGTGGTTGATTTAAAGAAGGTATGGCAATGAATGATGCAATAATATAATCACCATAGCCTAGACGTTAAAGTAATCATGTGCTTTCTTTTTTTGCTTAACTTTGAATATTAGAGGGATGAGTATGTACCCTCCACCAGTTCACTTAGTTTTTTGCTGCTTCACATTCTTAGTTATTCTCCTGTTCTATATTTGAGATTTACAAATGAAAGTGAACAGGTACTGATCGAGGAACATTAATAGATAAGCCTACCCAAGATTTTAAATAGTGGAATTGGAAATATTACAAACCTTTATTATTTAAATAATAGAAACATAACGATATAAGAGCGCAGTGTGAAACAGGATAATATATGGGAAAAGTGTGACGTGTGTTATCATGATAGATGACATTACATGCAGTGGAGCCACAGAATTGAGTACGTAAACATCATGATTGATTAATCCATTTGTTATTGATTGGACAGGATCGTTTGTAATTATTATTGGTAGACATATATAGCCTATGTTATTTTTATGAATAGGGTGACATATCAGAGGCATTAGAAGGTGACCCAAAATACATGGCCCCAGAACTGATGGATGGCAAGTTTGGGAAAGCAGCTGATATCTTCAGGTATGTATGTATATATATATATATATATATATGGATGGCAGGTTCTTGTTCAGTCGGGCGGTTGGATGATTGCTAGGTTGGTTGTGCCCTCATGCGATTGGGCTGTTGGTTAGTCAGAAGGTGGATGTACAGATAGACACCGATGTATATTTGATATTTGGACACATTTGCTTACTTCACTATCACTTACTTTAGTGTGGATTCATATTGAGTTTGACTAGTTTGTTTTTTAATTGATTTGTAGATAATCATTTTTATGTTTGCTGTGTTTTTTAGTCTGGGTACTTATTGGGCATGTAGTGTTCAGCTACGGTAGTGGTAAAGTTAGGTTATCAGACTCAATTTGTGCATATACAGTAATTCAAGTGTACAGTTGTTTTAATTTAGTGTGTATCTTGAATATGTAGCAATAGTCATGTTATGCTTAATGGGGCATATTAAAGTATCTCGACATTGTTGTAGCCTCGGTGTGACTTTATTGGAACTTGCAACTGACTTGGACGTGCCCCGTGGTGGAGCTGCCTGGCACCTGCTCAGAAGTGGCAACATACCAAACTACATATTTAAAGGTTTGAGAATGCATTAGTGGTTATGCTTTCCTGGTACAAAATTTATACTTTATACCCGGCGCACACAGTGAGATTCGAGATCACCGTGTGCGCGGTCGATTTATGTGAGTTTTTGGCCTCACGAGGCGGTGAGGAAAATATCCGTTGTGTTTGATCATTTTGGTCTTGCGAGGCTGAAAACGCAGCGTGTGCGGGGTATGTGAGATTCCTGCTCACACTCACTCAGTGGCGGTGCATTTTGATTCGTTCTCACTCAGTGGCGGTACATTTTGATTCATTCCGCCATTTTGATCAGTCACATGACCTACAGTGGCACCAGCTCGTGAGATCCGTGCTCAGCATGAAGTTCACCGTGTGCGTGGGTGTGAGATTTATGCTGAGCACGAATCTCACCGTGTGCGCCGGGCATTACAATATCATTTGCTAAATTAGCCATTGTCATGGTAGTAATTTTAGCATGTGTAGCAAATGCGTGCTTAGTATGTATTATGTATTTCTTACAGTGTAATGATTTTCGTGCCTGCACTGCAAAAAGCTGAAGTTTTGTTTTCATCATGCAAAAGCAAACAATATTTTATTACCAGTTATGAACAAGATACGTTTAATTTAACAAGAAACGAAGAGTAGTGAATTTAATAGTAATGCAAAAATCATTGTAAATGTAATATTCAGAAGTAGATTGCTTTCATAAGGTATTGCATATTAAAATTTTCCCCCATTTTCTTTGCTCACAAAGACTACCATCTAGCCGTAAGTATTGGTGTACTGAAGTTACATTAGCTACAGTCAGAATAGTGTAAGCTGGTTCAGCTTGTGATGCCGTGTTAGTTGGCATTCTTTGTGTACGCATGTGGCTGCACGTATGCCTGTTTGCCACTGGGGCTGCAACCAGACTTTAGCTGATGGTGGTGATGATGGCATGATAATTTGACATCAGGGCTGCAGACGGATATGCGTGAGATGATGAGGGTGGCTGTGATATCAAGTCTGTGATAATTCCTGCTGAAAGTGTACGTGCATGTTTTCTCCCAGGGCTGCAGCCAGGCTTGTGTGAATTGCTTAGGCTTATGATGAACCCGAGTTACATCCGTCGCCCGTCGGCCGATGACATACTACAGATGCCTGCCGTACAGAACCATGCAGTCAGGAGGAGGAGGCAGCTGCTGTCCAAGAAAGTGGTGCGTTTCAGGTTATGTTCTGTTTGTGATAGTGTTTTGATGTATTTTCTATAAGGTAGTAGCTATGCATTTCTTACTTGTGACAACAGCGGTGACATATAAAGCCTGTCTAGGTTCTATATAAAAGAACTTTTTAATGAACCGATGCACAATTCGGCACGTATTTATTAGTGAAAATATTTCTCTTGGGCTCTTGGAAAAACATGGAAATTGGAATGTCACCCAATGTTTTTCAGTTCTACGGGTCGTTTCAACAAGTTGCAATGGCATGATATCTTTCTTTCAGGTGAACCAAGTCATGGCATCGTTTTGTGCAGTGTGGCTCATGTTGTTGGCACTGTGGAAAATCGTTCTGTGGCCAGTGCAGAGTGTGAGCTTAAGACGACAGTCACACAGGCCACCAAGAGGTATAGAAGCAGGCATTCGACAAGGATCAGGATGGGACACAAGCTTCTCAGATGGTAACACACTTATCTGTAGTCTAGCAACAAAACCTATGTGAATATCAGTTGGTAACCTCAGTTCACTAGCTGATTACCACATATCAGTCCCTGCTTGTCATGATTGAATTGTCAGTACTAAAAAGCAGTGGGCTGCTTGTTGCAGATGATGTGTTTGAGAATCCTTCAAACTTGTCACGCTCATTCATCTCGCCTCTATCAGAGTCTTCCGAATCAAACGACAGTAGGAATGGGATCCTGGATGCACTACGGTAGGTAGGCCGACATTGCTGTGCTAATAATTACACATGTAAATGTAGTATCTGGAATACCTGTCTGGGATTGAACAAAGAAGTAAGGCAGACTGCACCTATTTGGCCCACAAAATACTAGGTACCTAATACTCTTCCCAGTTCAGTTATGTCAGCGTATTTTTACCATTTTAATTTTACTCTAGATGATTTTTTTCCATTCTAATATGACGATATAACTGCACATTATTCATATTATTTACCAAAACATTGAATCAGATGCAGGTATTTTTCTTGTGAGTATATGCAGTACGGTACAGTTTCTGTGCGAGAATGATAATTGAGTAAGATTGTGTGTGGACTCTCTGTGATTTTTATTACCCGTACATTCTCAGCCGTGGTGCTTACTCTGCACCTGCAGCGATGAAAGCTAGACCAAAAGTGGCGACGCCTCCTAGAAACATGGTACCCCTTTCTCTGCTTGATAGGTGAGTAAAGAGTGACATTACTATCCTGTGTCTACGCCCAGATTCTTGGTAAAGTAACCTGCGTCAGCGCTTCTGTGGCAACACCACTCACTTGTTGATGTGTAACGATCCAAAAACCGAGACATCTAGACGTAGGTTAATCTGTCCGTGATTTTCAGCCTGTGCTTCTCCCTCACGAGCGATGTATTCCTGTGCAAGGATCGCTGGTTTATTGTGCTTGTTTGCATGTTTTTTTGCCCTGAAGGATGACGCCAGAAGCGAGTGCGCACCATGACCACAGCATCAACAAGTCACTGTTTCTGGAGACGTCAGGGAGCATGGCTTCGAACGATGAGTCCATGGTCGCACCTGAAGCAAAGGTGAATATCGGCCCCAAGAACCTCATGAGCGTGTTTGCCGCGGCAGACATGTCAGACGAGGACTGAGCTGATTCCTGTACGAATCACACACTGTTTGTCGCCACAGTCATCCGTCGAACGTCGCGAGGTGTTTCTGCTGTGCGAAAACCTGGGTTTTTAAGGCGTGGCCGAGAACACTGAGAAGGATACAGTGAGTGAACTGGCAATGGCTTACGTCATCATTAGGTTGTGTGAAAGATGTTGAGATGCCACTTTTCAAACTCGTGTGACGTGGGCAAATGTGAGCAATTTGCAAGAGCTGACTAATATGCTTGTGTGTGAAAGTTATATAGAAGTTAAGCAAGCGGATATTTGTTATATACGACACTGTAAATTGTGCAGGAGAAAGGGTTAAAACATCCAACATAGATGTTACACATTGATTGTATAGACCAAGATTATTGTTAGAAAATAAGTGATTTGCTGTCATGCCAAATTCATTTCTAAAATAGAGGCTGGCACTTCCTTTAAAGAATTCCATTTGGTATAGGTATGGCATTAATGTTTGTGAATAATTGTCTATAAATAGTGCCTTTCTTGACAGGACCAAGTTTACGTATAAACATTCTGATGATGACACGTTTTGTGATACAAGTACAGCGTCGGGCGGTGTCTGTAAATGCGTGTAGATAAATCTGTATTCCTGGTGTTCAGAGTATAAATCTCACGGTTACATGGTTAGAAATGCTGCATAATGCAGCTGTCGTGGTTTGGATGTTATGTAAAGATAGATACATATGAATAGATGTTGACTAATTGACTAAATTAACTAATTAGACTGGGAGGATATTTAATTTGTCAAGACCGCGTGCACGTATAAATATGGACTGCAAGGAGCAAGTGGTTTGTGGCACAGCATTACACATAGGTAGTTGAATCTATCGATATATTTGTATAACATTTAATTGAACAATGTGCAGTCTTTAGTTCTGTTCATTTTTAGGAATTCCTCTAGTTCAAAGTAAAGAAAGTACTGCACAATTCACTAAATTGATATGGCTTCAATAGCCATTGCAGTGCCAGTACTCACACGGATAATTATTCGGCTGCCATCATCCCGGCATGTGATGCTTAATATTTCTACCTAGATGGCAATGTCAGAGCTGGGTAGCATATAATTAAAAAGAGGTGAGAAACAACAAGCCTGTTGTAGTGAATGAAGGCGCATTGTGTTAATGGCACCTGCTGATTGCTTGTCGCTTATGCTGTGTCAGGGTTGACATCGATGTAGTTGAAGATTTCGTTTAGACCAAATTTGTTGACACCGTTTCTGTCGGGCATATATGTCCGCAGTGTGAGCACGGAGTTTATATCTGTTACTCATATTGATAATGTTACAGAGGCACAGGACGTGTATTATAGTTTCATCAATGAAACGTTCCATCTACTCGGTTTAAAGATCCAGCACTACATTCCCAATTTGAAGCTAGTCAAGTGCGAGTTTGTCTGCAAGCAGTAATGAGAGCGGAACTGTCCTGAATTCTACGAAGTTGGTGGCTCTGTAATTATGTCAGGGGTTGAGTAAAGTTAGTTGTTAGATCGTAAGATGAAAAGAACCCCAGGAATTCCTCGTGTATAGCGTGTAATAAGTGTTTGATGTTTGTTCAGTTGTTCAAAATGCACAGTTGTGTGAAGCTAGGGATGTATGACAAACTTATCATCTTAATTGTGTACTATTTTGATATAAATTATATTTGACCAGTTAGTTTTTTATGAAGTTTTTTAAACTGTTTTAATTGTTTTTACTGTCTATTATGCTGATATCAAAAGAGAAAACAAATATTTTAGCTGATCTCAGTAACCTACATTTATTCAACTAAAGTAACATGTCCATAAATAAAAGCAAGCAACCTTTCAACAAGAGACTAACTATCTTCCGTGCACCCAGCGAATACATGTTCTTGGGTCTTGTAAAACTTCATTAAAGGCTCTTAATAATATGTACACCTCACACATTAGGCACTGTAGCAACAGTGATGCCTATGTGTACACACCTAGAGCACCTAATTAATCTCTTGTTAGATGGATATTTGATGGAAATATATAATAAATCAAACAATAATTTAATACACCATATTATACTTAGTAACTAAATACTACACCAGATATACACAAGACATTACCATATACCATTATATATATATATATATATATATGCATATAAATATATATCATGAGTGTATTATAAGGAATATATATTAATGACAGTGACCCTACGTTTTTAATAGTATTCTCTCAACATTTTAGTACGAGTGGAGACAAGACTGTACGCATTACTGAGCTTATACCTAGTCTTTACCTTGAATGATAAAGAAAATGGTGGACATCTATTTGATGAACACACATTTTAACATTGTGTGGTTTAGTTTAGTTTGGTTCATATCTATATATCTCATAATGTGTTTGTGCCCACAGCGCCAACTGAAGCCACACAGAGAGGATGGTTATCAGTGACGTCTTCGTTCGCAAAATAAAAATACTAAATTCCTGCTAACGATTCTCTGCCTGTCATCTGCTGTGATTGTTGCTGTGATGTCTGTAGTACTAACTAGAAAACCACATCGCGTGCATATATACGAGCACTACAACACAATAGTGAGTTGACATACACCAATATCACTATAACCAGAGAGAATTATAAGCTCAGGAAAGTATACTTTTTGTTCTTATTTATTCTAACATTTTATGTAAGGCAACTCTTGATTTGTGTGAGTCTGGTTTGAACATGTTTAAAATAACGTAGGTAGTCTGACACCTTATTTAACAGATTTACTAGAGGTTATATTTAATATAACGTAATAACTGATAAGCATCATCATTGGTCTGACAGCATAGTGGCGTGGTGTTACCAGCACCATATGAGATGGCACTAGTATTAGGTGGGAATACAGGTTTCTGCTTTTGACTCGGTGCATGGACACTTACATTGTTTGGTATACGACTATTTGATTTATGTGACCAATTTTAATATTGTAACTATCGCTAAACCAAGAGTTACCTGTACTCAGTGTTGTGCTTGATAATTCATTCATGATATATATTAAAATTATTCTTCCTACATGTTAAACATGTGGCAAATTTAGATACCATTTACTACCACACTCTACACACCTATCTCACTACAAAGCATTCTTACTCTTAGCAGCTTCAATGTTACAGAAATTGGCCTGGGATTATTGCGAGATGTCATTATTACTAAGTGAAAGCCCTTGCTAACCCTACTCAACATACTTGGACAACCATTCTAACTGCATGTCCAGCACTGTCACCTACAGTTTTCTGTCAGTTGTCATCTTTGTTTTGATGTTCTCACCAAGCTTGTCCAAGAACTCGAAGGTGTTCAGGTAATCCGCTCTCTTGACACTGAAGAATGTAAGCAAACAAATATTTACTGCTTGGTCAACACTCAGATCGTAGACAGTTATTAAGTATACCTACCCCTAAGTCTTTTCATATAAATTACGTTTAAAAAATATCAGACACTTAGAAATATACTACGATGACAACAAGAAAAAACACCAAACAATATCTTACTACTGGCTACACCTTGTATTTAGCCTGAAGAGTGCTATCACACGGGCTTCACATTTAAAACTTATTGAAACACGCCCCTCCCAACATACTCACTTTGCCATCGACCCCAACACACAGCCTGCAAGGTCCTTGGTGTAAGCACCAGATTCGATTGTCTCAACACATACATCTTCCAGGTTCTGGCAGAACTTGGCCAAGTCCTTATTGTTATCAAGCTTTGCACGGTGCTGGAGTCCACGAGTCCATGCAAAGATCGACGCTGCAACACAAGATGAGCAAAACTAAATGTAAGAATAAGCATAATCAAATTTATTACATTGTAATCAGACTGGTAAGTTCAGGTATATTCAGATTTTTCTGTTCATAGGTTGATAATATATATACAATTAGACCATTATGTCTGAACAGGTAATAACTAAAGCTTAAATAACAAGTACAAAATGTCAATCTTTAAGAATGGCTCCACCACTAGGCACCAGACCAGATTTTGCCTAACACAGCATAAAACAAGGTAACTGACTGGCATTCCTGTATCAGGTGAATGAAATTGTGTGTGGTGTAGTGTTCATTTAATTACATTGCATTTTTACGATTTTATTCTAAATTATGTGAAAAATAAGTTAACCAAACATGAGTTTGGTTATGGTAAGTAGTGCACAGCAGGTGTTATATAGGCTGTTCTATTTATGTTATCACTGTGGCAAAGCTAGGGTTCATCTAATACAATGAGTTATGGCAAAAAAATCAAATTTATACCTAAAAAACTCAAGAACAACTTGTATGCCAAGTCAAGTTATGTGGCAATATATGATAAATATAATCTTTAATAATTTGCCAACACTCTACAGACTATAATTACCCTTGATAGGATATGTATCATGAAAGTACCCCTCGGTTAATTAAATATAGTTTTTGATAATAACTTGTTGCTTGGTTAAACTAACACTAATGGTTCACTTAATTGACATCATAGCTTACCAATGGGGTTAGTAGAAGTCTCCTTCCCCTGCTGATGGCACCTGTAATGTCTGGTGACAGTGCCATGGGCTGCCTCTGCCTCCACTGTCTTCCCATCAGGACAGATCAGAACACTTGTCATCATACCAAGCGAGCCATAACCTGTGAGTACGTACACGCATATATGCTAATGTCCTTATAATACCACATTGCACAGTAATTTGCTTATATGGGGTTAACCCATAAGTTGCACTTGGTAAATAATACATAATATATATATATTTTTACCAAGAATCAATTTTTGCAATTAAGCATCGTTTCTGCACAATATGAAATGACGGCCATACATAACAAATTCCGAACCACATTTCACAATTCGAACAATTAAATTATGAGCGAAAGAAAGAGGGAAATATTAAATACCTTGGGCAACATTGTCAGACTGAACATCTCCATCATAATTCTTGCAGGCCCACACAAAGCCTCCCTCAGATTTCAATGCCTGAGCGACCATGTCGTCTATGAGTCTGTGCTCGTACCATATTCCCTTCTCCTCAAATTTACATTTATATTCCCTGTGAGGAAATAGTACATCAGATAAAAGAAACTAGTGTGCTTTAATGTATATAGCAATTTTTCAATTACAACTATAACATTATTCACTACAGTGTGACGAGGTAAATGTAGGAACACGTAAATGGTTCATTTTTTCATAGTACTTTACTGCTGGAGTTTGCAAGCAATGAACAACTAGATATCAACAGTTGGGGGCTGAGCCACATGTAATATTGAAAGTATATGCAAATGATTCTCATGCATTTCATAAACATTGACAAGGTTACGTTGTGAAATCTCAAATCAATCGCACAATCATGCAACAAACAAACCAAGTGATACAGCTTTTGCTTAAATAAAACAAGTGCCGCGGAGCGACAGCGCTCATCTAATGTCTACTGCGGTGACTCTGTGGTGGAGTGGTGGGATTCTAGTAAACCCTGTTAGTCCCAAATGTGTTCACATACACGCCGAAACACGTGGAATGCACAGGGATGGTATCAGGAACCTTCTCAAAGGAATGTCGTTGGGATCGTTATGAAAGTTGCCACGAGATGGCGCGTACGTTTAAGTGTCTTCAGATTAAAGATGGAAGCTCCATCGTACGTAAGCAACAACTATTTGCAAGACAGAATAGGTAAGCACTCATCCATTTACCTACGCAAGCCTACAGGCTGCAAATGAGAGGCTGCCACCTGTAACCAATTAACCCAGGCAAAAAACTACACAGTACCACCAACACATGCACTGGCAGTAGCCACTGGCAGTGGCATACGGTACATGTAACATACTGACAGTACAGAATGCCATAGAAATTATACGATTTAAGGAGCATAACCTTCTTAAACAAATTTAGCTTTTGAAATTTCATTGTGACTTTGTAGCCTCATACATCCAGGCATGTATGAGTTCTACTAGCAAACCCCGGCAGTCAAATTCTTTCTAACAGACAGTCAACAAAATCATGTTTAACCCTCCTCTTGAGGGTCAAAAGGTTATCTGACACTTACTCTTCGCATGTCGCAGAAAGTAGATTTCATGGTCCTTTCAATAATGCCATAAAAATGCTGGTCACGCGCTGAACAAAAAAAAGTTTTTCAATCGCTCCGTCAGACCATGTCCTCATAAAATGTCTAAAATCTGCCCTGTGCGCATTGACCTTTGACCTGTGACCTCCAATTTCGGCACAGTGATGGCTCCTACCATGATGCTATACACCACACTATCACGAGCCTAGGTCGAGCCGTTTAGATTTGTGCCGCAATTCTGCATTTCCTCCCTATACCTTAAAGTAAGAAGTGAATGTTCCCCCTTCTTTTACACCTCTTGACCTTTGACCTTTGACCCCCCAGCTTCGACATCCCAACTCGTTTTGACGATCCCCCCCAATGTGCCAAATATCGTGACCGTACGTCGAGCGGTTAAGATTTGTGCCCAACTGTTGACAGACGGACGGACGGACGGACGGACGGACGGACGGACGGACGGACGGACGGACGGACGGACGGACGGACGGACAATCATGCGATTCTACAAGCTGCATCTGACTATGTTATGTCAGATGAGCTAACAAAATCAAGCATTAACTTTTGCAAACTTACGAATCATAAACATCCTGGAATATATCCTTAAAGCGTCCATCATACTTCTTTAGGATGGTGTTCTTGGTGCTCATGTACAAGACCCAGCCCTTAGCCAGTGCATATTGAAATGAACTATGTGCAAATTCTGTAATGGACTAAAACAAGGACAAAATGCAGTGACACAGTGTAAGATGAAAATTGTTAAAAGATAACGCTCACTCTGTTTTAACATGCACATAGAGTTTATTGATTTCAAAAAGAATTGCATGAACCAATGATAATTACAAACAATGTCCCTAACTAGGTAATTTTGAGAGGCTTACCTTATCAGTGTTGAACATGCCAAGGGCAACACCTGGTCCTTCAAAATCATGAACCGTGTAGGTGACCGGCTTTCCCCCATCTGCAGGGGTGTACTTTATTTCCACTTTACCCGCACCAGGAACAAGAAAGTCTGTTGCCTTGTACTATATATTTTAGAATTAAATACAACACAATAGATATATTACACTCTTTATCATAACAGAGGTGTACCTCTCGCTCAATCTAACCAATGTTTAGCTACATCATATGCACAAAAAATGCAACCAGCAGGTATATCTCACAATTCGTAATTGAATTGTAGTACAACATGCATTCATCATTGAGGACTGTGCTTCTATTGGTTGCTGCTCACCTGATCACCATAGGCATGACGACCAATCACAATAGGTTTAATCCAGGTGGTGACTAGACGCGGAATGTTCTGGCAGATGATAGCCTCACGGAAAACTGTCCCTCCAAGAATGTTCCTGATAGTGCCGTTCGGAGATCGCCACATCTTCTTCAATTTAAACTCTGCAGAATTAATTAGTGATCTTTTTAGTTATATAAGGACATAACATTACAAGATGGTATATTTTCAAGCTGAAAGCCAAGTAATGCACATGGTTTGTGCCCAAAAACATGCACATTTTGGCTTTCCAGCAGACCTGTGCAAAAAAGTTAGCAAACATAGGAAGTTTACGGAACAATATTTTAATAATTGCCACCTGAGATAACTATTGAATGTATTCAATGTAGATGGCTATGTTTAAGACTGCGAGCAACAACAACAGCAAAAATTTGTAATATATGCTACCCACTAAACTAACAAGTTAACTTACCTACTACTCTGTTCTCATCTGGTGTTATAGTTGCACATTTGATTCCCACATTGTATTTTTTGATGGCATGGGCACAGTCAATTGTCACTGAAACATGGAAATTGCCTTAGTGAGAATTTTAGTATGTATGTGTGCATTTGCATGCGTGCTTGCGTGTGTGCACGCATGCATCTGCACATGTGTATCTGTATATGATATAAGGTGGTAATGTAGATTGAAAGGTACATTAACATGGTACATGATTATAAATCCTTATTTATATACCGGGTTCATTGGTACAAGAAGATCAATGGTGGTATGAGAACAAAAAAATTGTACAATCAGCTTGATTCAACTGGGAGAAGTGGAGTCGAGTGATGTGCGACAAATGACTGATAGTTCAACTGACAGGAAACATCTACAGAACTGTAATACTACTTAAAAGTAATACTGGTTTATGCTACAGTGGCAAAACTTGATCACAATGTCAGTTTACTAAAGATGATAGGAGAGTTCCAGCAAGGAATCCAGGGTTCTCCCCAGGATGAAATTCAAACAGGGGGGAGGGGAGGGGGAGGGGGGAAACTAGGGGGTCCGGGGGGCATGTATTTTTACCGTACCACTAATTAATGCGTAAAATCGCCACCACACCATAGACGGTATTTGGGGTTCTTGTATATATAAGATAGCCGAGTCGGTGTACAGTTAGTGTTGGGTTCGGGACATATGTTAACTGTTTGTACTTGTGTATTGTCTGCAGTGCATGCGTGTTACGGTAAAAATACACGCGTCAGGTGTCCTGGTCGAATGGGAATTCTTGACGATCGATTCCCGCGCTGGCAAACTTTTATTGTGGTGGAATTTAATCGGGGCGGAGGTAATTTAAACGGGGCGCAACGATTGAAACAGGGGGGAGTTTTCCCAAACGGGGCGCGCCCCGTTTGCGCAACGTAGGGAGAACCCTGGAATCAACAACAACAACAAAAACTAGAACTGAATCGGTCTTTTGACGATGAGACATGACAGAAAAAATCCATTTTCACAGGCAAATGACAGAGTAAACAGAATGGATACCAATTTTAATGAGCATGAAAAGGTGGCCAGTCAAGTAAAGATTGGTGAGAAGATTTTCAGAACAGGCACTGTAATTTTTTGTGCACCATCTTCCAGCCTATTTTTTTTACAAATGCAATCGATCTGGGCATTCCAGCAAATTTGCTGATAGGTATTTAAGATAAAGTGAGTAGGTAAAGGTTATGGGCAATTTAGACCAGGTAATGCATATATGAGTTAGGATACTCATGCAGGGGAGGGTTACTTGTTCATCTTTATACTGTAAATTATAAGATAAAGAACTGCATCGGGAGTGAAAAAACGTACAGATGTTACTGGTTGCATTAATTTGATCAATGATAAATGACAAGGATAATAGCGGGCCAAGCACAGAACCCTGGGGCATGCCAGATGCAACATACATATTGTATACATATAAGCACGCACGCACACACACACATATAATTTACACATTTTCTATAGACCTGATAAGACTATTAAATTTATGAGCACAATGCAATATATTTTACCTTGATCATTCGTGGCATCTCTATTTTCAAGTCCAAGATCAAATGACTTGATATCGAGTTCGACATATGGGAAGATGAGTTTCTCTTTGATAAGTTCCCATATTATTCTATCAAAAGATTAGTTTAAAATTAATCCTATTTCCCTGAGTATGAATTAAATGTAATTAAAGTCATGGCATGCATGTTGCAATTTTTACTATAAATATTTTACAGGCACAACAACCATGTACTATGTTGACAGCAACATCCAGGTTGGCCTACTCTCATTTCGTCAGTCTACTCCCAGAATGGGTAATATTAATTCCCATTTCGTCTACTCCCAGAATGAGTAATATTCCCATTTCGTCTACTCGCAGAATGCGTAATAACATGCAAGTGGGAAACCCTGCCTTTTTCTGTGAGTCTATGAGACTATAACTACTCAAAGGTGTGAATGGCTTAATACAAATTTTACAATGACACTTAGTAAGAGGTATGATGATATATCAGGAGTGAATAATAGAGATCTCTATTATTCACTCCTGATGATATCATGCCTTTCATGTGACTCTAGGACAGTAACAAGTCGGTAACCAACTAGTCAAAGGTGTGAATGGCTTAACGGTTATCTGGCTTATAACACAATGCCACCAATACTAGGAGAAATTAGTGTGGATGCCACTATACAAGAAATCTTGTGTGGATGCCACTCAAAAGTAATATTTGACACGTATATATATGTCTATTTATTAGACAATTTGAGAGTAGACTAGGTTATAAATTTTTCGTGCTACCATAGTTTCTATTTTTGTCAAGTTGACAAGTTGTCTTTTGGTTCCTGTAGTCTATGTATGCCAATCATATCCATATTTTACATTTATAAATGATTATTTAGTGGACAAATTGATAGTAGACAAAATGGGAATGGGGTAGATTTTTAGTGTAGACGAATCAGGGGTAGTTGAAATGGGTGTAGACCTCCAAGCAATAAACCATGACGACGACATTTGCAGGATTAACTGAACCATGAAAATATTCTGAACGAGTTACCTAGCACACATCACCTCCAGCAAAGATCAATGACCCTAACATACAAGCATACATAGCACACGTGTAATCACTATTTATACATTCTTGAACTGTACCCCGTGCACATGCAATCCCACATGAACTTTGGTGTTTCTAACTACCACATTAATTGTTTCAGATTACATTATAGTTCAAACAAATGTACTTTCATGCACATGCATAGACACATGCATGCATGCATGTACACTTTTATCTACTGTACATTTATCAAATATAGATGGTTGGTAAATTTTAGAATTTGATTGTATTTACATTAATTCCGGCCTCGCCTTCAAATAAATTTATTTTACTACTTCAGGCTAGATCAAAACAGTGAGATCATAGATAACAGAAGCACAGAATGTATGAACTAAACATCGAATTATAGTGGCAGTGAAAAGAATTTAAATTGCTTGCAGAGAGATGTTTGTTCCATGAGAATTTTACATCAAGCAACAAAATCAATATGACCTTTGGGTGTTATCTGGCATCTCCGGAAAGCTCTAGTATCAGCAACTTCCCCACAGGCATTTAGAGGACAAATTTTCAGCACAATCAATACCAGAGCTAGCTATCTGACATCTCCCTTTGTAAGCCATGGCAAACTGTATCGACAAAGGCACTACAGCTGCTGTATCCCCACGAATTTCCGGAGTTGAATTTTATACGTTACATGTACAGTTCAATTTGTTAAGTGAATCGTTCTGTGACAAGCACCTCGTATAATTAAACCTAGAGTGTCACTTTGCAGTACCCTAAATATGATACTATATGAATTTCCTGAGTTTCAAATGCTCCTCTATATATCTATATTATGATTTCAGAAGTGTCATAATATAGAATATAGTATATATATTATGACACTCCTGATGACATATCATGAATTTTCTTACGCTTATATCTAATCATTTAATAACTTCGATCAGGACATCCACCTGTACACAATATGCTTCCTTCACAATTCTACTATGAATAGAGAAAATATGCAAAAGTTGATACTATAATAGCCACATTATGAAAATGTGATGTATATTAATTTCAGTTTAAATTTTAGGCTAAATATAACTCCAAAAATAGAACTTCAATATCTGCAATTATTATTTCATATATGGCTATACTGTAAATCTGAAAATCTTGTACTGTAAATCTGTTAATTTGTACTCAACAAACCTGTGCAGATATACAAGTTTGGGATAATCATGAGTATAAGATGGCCATATGTGCCTCGTCCCATCATATACACATCATTCTAATCAGTCAGTGTTAATCTTTTTGGGTGTTTCAATTGATTCTATAGCTAGACAGTGTGTGCGTGTGCGCGTGCGTGTGCGTGCTCCGGGGTATATCCACATTACCAATTTAGCAATCGTATAAGAGGAGATTACAGCAGGCATCACTTGTCAGCAATTGTGTGATGATCCTTGAATGTCACCGGCAAGTTAGTTGGCATATCGTTAGTTACACAAAACCATGTTAGAAGAATGGAAGGAAAAACTATTGTTTACACCCTGTTCTACAACACTGTTAGAGAGACTGAGAGAGTATCTTAATTCGATCAGGCTTCAGCTTTAACTGTTTCGATTTTTTTGAACATTCATCGTTCAATATCAAGCAATTAAAATTATATGCAAAAACTTTAAAAATGCCACACATTTGGAAGTTTGATTTTGAATTTTTCCACAATCCTAGTTTGCATGGGACCCGGGTGCGTGATTTTTTCTCCCACTCACATAGTGGCATTAATTTGCATAAGCGGCGCTGATTGGCTGGCGGTTTCGTGCGCGCCATCTATGAGTTGTGAAGATTTATGAGCCCATTATCACAGTCAGTACTACAGTATCATACTATATACAGTATGTGCTTTTGCTCTCGTTTTTATTCATGAAAATCCGTAATGAATCCGTGATAGTCAGCTATATTTCTTGCTGTGCATTGACAAAGCTTTTCCATGATGAGTTCACTGGTATAAAATTAACGGTAAAAGTGTCGCACGGGCAAAGTGTAGCGATGCGGACATAGCGCCTGTATACACAGGTTATTTTAGACTCCGCGCCACCGCGCTAGCGAGCCTATAACGGCGCCTTTGTTTAGTGCCATTGCAACAGCCAATCATCGCCACTTATGCAAATTAATGCCACTATCTGAGTGGGAATAAAAATCACGCGACCCTGGTACATATAGTTCGCATATGTGTGCTAAACTAAAACTAAACTAGGATTTGGCCGAAATTTGTCACTTTTGCCGTTTTGGTGCCCAAAAAATCGCTCAGCAAGAGGGAATTTGCCAGCTTTGCACACTTGAACATATCGCCATCGTATTTTCATAAGATATAATCGTATTTTCCTACATACATAACGGCACTATAATGCATAACATAAGAACCTACAAGTTAACGAATAGTTAGAACCGCTCACCTCGTCATTTCATCTCCCTTGACTTCCACCACGGTGCCACCTATAAAATAATGTCATGATATACGTTACAACTTACAAGTATAACTAAACACGGTTATAGAATGTAAAACAATCCAACACACGTAACTATATCATATCTAAGATAACCGATTTAAAAACCAAAATAATACACCATTATACCAGTGATTTTCCCCATTTTCCTGAAAGGTTTTCTGATCGTCCTGGTCAGAGTTCTCTCTCGGCAACGGGTGATCGACAATCGGCCACGGGTGTGTGAACTGTAGACGAGACACTTGTCGTGTCCGATACGATTTGTCTACGCGATGGGAAAGTATTGTGCCGTCTAGCGTAAATCGCTGCCGGCGATAAAACGTGCGCGCGCTTATCCGGAAGTTTGCCGACAACGTTGGCGATGGAGAGTTAAGAGCAGACAGAAAAACCACTTTCATCCGTAAATTCATGAACATGGTTGCGCGTACGTTCATTGTACTATTTTGATTTTACCAATAGCTAATATTAGCTCTTGATTTTACTGTCCTTATTCCAACAATGCCATTTAGAGTCATGGTCAGTCATCTTCGATCAATGATGTACCAGCATGCATGTATACATAGATTGACGTATTATCATAGACAAAGAATATCTTCTAAGATATTGTATTATTTGTGTTATATGTATTATTTGCATTATATGCTGGGTATAAAGCATGATGTATCAGTTCTTAATTAAGACATATCATTAAAAAGATGCTCATCTTATCCCACCAATAACGCAACGACTTTAAATTGCGACTGCTGAGCAGATGAGCTCATGTGCGGCAACGGTGGTAGCGAAACGGTCGTTTATTGCTAAATATACACTAGCATGATATATGACAGTTATATATATTATATATGACATATAATATGACAGCTCAATTAAATATCCTTTATCTCCTCTTGTATGTTACCCTCCTATCTATGGTTTTAGCAAAATTTGAGAAACATAACAAATATACATATATAACAAAAAATAACAAATATAACAAAATATAACAAAAAAATTGTTTGTTATATAAAAATTGCACAGGGCAATTGTCACCAATAAGCCACTTCGTAGTTACGCACTGGAGCCCTATGACGTCATTGGGTCATAGGTCATTTGTACATAGCTGAGAATATCGATCGCGCGTTCGCTCGTACGCACTTGTCGTATACCACATAATATGCATGAATGTTATACAGAAGCTATGTAAAATCGTGCGTGCGTTTGTATTCTGTACTGAACCGATCGACTGTCTGCCTGTGCTTTTTGTTTTTTGGATTTTTACGTATGTGTATGATATTCATTGTGGGGTATTTTAGGTAGATATGCAGTGTCGGTTCTTCTCGGTCAGTCAGTCTCGGTCATATCATTTATGTATGGATGTCTTTTTGCTCCCTGGATTTCTTAATTCTAATACAACAGAAATGCACACTCAAACATACATGTAATTAACTTGCAAAGCATATCTATTGACTCATGTTTAATGCACGTCTAACTACATATGAACAAGGAGGAATGTTAACCTCTAAATACATTGTACAAGCAATTAAAGCAATGAAAATGGGAAAATTGTGTACGTGTATACTTGTATGAAACTTGCAAATGTGATAATTTATAATGTAGCAAGTTTAAAAAATAGCAATGAAATAAACGCGTTTCCATTTGAGAGATAGCAGCTAGGGAATAAACATGTATCATAGTTTCTTATATTTCTTATTATTAATATATATGAAAACCTTCAATTTAAGTACCATTTGATATTAATAATAAAAAATATATGCGTGATTCCTGTTTCATGTGTAAATGGTATTTTAGCTGCCATAGTATAGACATATATTGTAATCAAAATACTAATAACTGAAATAGTATGCATTCAAACAATGTTATGATTATTATATTATTTTATGTTTATTAATGAATGCTATTTAATTATTGAATGTTCGTTGCTTTATTAATTAAGTATATAATTGAGAATGAGATGTAACTGCATGTGTATGAATGATGCAATGAGAAAATGGTGATGGAGACGTCTGATCATCTGATGTTTATTATGACAATTACAGAAACTTTGGTGAGAATGAAAAATATTAAGGAAACCTTTCCATAAATGATGGACTTAAAATAGTTTTATAATGTCTTAATTCTCATGTGTACAAATAGCTACTAGGTAAACTCGAAAGTTTTTCACACATGCATCTTTACGTTATTGCCATAATTAGTAGGCACTGAAATCATTACATGGGTCTTCTATAAACATGTATCCCTATACCTAAAAGACAGGATATCAGTTATAACCACGCATTTTTTCATTTATCAACTAAGTAACAGACAACAAAATTGAACAAATAACATGTATTTGTTCTACATGTATCAATGAAGTTTACACACATTCTATATTGGGCAAATCTTAGTTAAATGTGATGTTATTTCCAACTTAGACAAAAATAATACAGTACGTACGGTTACACTTGCTATCACACGCCACGGAGACCCAGCGAGCGTTTTATGTACAATTGACCTTTGGCAAAAGTTCACGCCAGAATCTCGCGCATGCTCAATGCGTAACTACGAAGTGGCTTATAGCAACCACTGATCTCTATAATATCATTATTATATTATAGAGATCAGTGATAGCAACGCGTATTATAACGTCGGCTAGGAATTATGGCGGGAAATCGCACGTGTAAAATGCAATCGGGAACCCTCGGACCATTCAACAGAATAGCGCTCATAGTTGTATAAATATAACTCTATAATATAGCGTCTATAACATAACTCTAACAATAGCGTCTATAACATAACATAACTCTATAATATAGGTCTAAAATATATAACTCTATGATAGCGCAAGACTAGAAACTCTTTTCTGGGAATGACGGAAAGAGCCGAATGGGTTTTCCGATTGGTGTAAAATGTGGTGGTGGCGTGATGCACGTGCTGTCGCGCGCGCACGTGCTGCGTGGGTGCACTGTGCGTGGGTGTCGTTGTATCACATTGTTTATGGACTCTCGTACATAATGAAGTGATTACATTGTACTTAAAAGAAAAACAACAACATCAAAGCATGGATGATCAACTTAAAAAGTATACTGAAGCGTGGCACGGGCTGAATGGCGATAATGATGACCATTTTAGGATTACATTAGCCGGAGAAATATGTCGCATTCTAGCTGAAAGAGGAGCATACGAAAAGATGGATGCCTTCATTACTAAGGAAATTGTGAACACTGACGGCTATTTTGATAACGAGAAATTTGCTATAAATGTTATTAAACTTGCAATCCATAAAAATGATTTCACCAGAGCCTACAAACTGATAAAGGTACGCATTAATACTTTACCGAGCGCATTGTTTTTTCCCCCTAGTTATGACTAGTTATGAATTTAATTCAATTGACTAACTTTTAAGTCAATTATTTTATAATGATTCCATGTAAGCTAGTACATGGATTTGTCATAAAATAATTTACTCGTATATTGTCATGAAATCCGATGAAATTATTCCAATATCAAATTATGGTAGTTTGCGAATATTGCTGAATATTTATTATTATACTTTGTTGCAGGATGGCCGTTTCGCTGGAAAAAGTAGGATGATTAGACTGTGGGATGGCGCACACTACAAAGAAATAGAACTGCGCACGAAAAGAACACTGACATCCCTAGACAGGTTCAGAATAAGGCAGAGGTAGTATGCCTAATCATATGTAATAATGTAATTACGTGGTTTCATTGCGATATGCTAAGATTCATTGCGATATGCAATATGCATATCCGCACCATTTTGCATCTAAAATAGTAAATAAAATTTAGGAGTAATGTTCACGTACATACTATCAATTGCGTATGTCTCTGTATTATTAATTGGTATTAAATGCTGGTCTACTCTAAGACATTGTGATCCGTTTTAAAGGTATTTGCCACCTGGCAGCATTCTGCCACATGGTGTAAGGCCAAAAGTGACCATTAACAGCAAATCGAGAAGGGTGCTGAGTAACTGGCTTCATGAACACGAAAAACATCCCTTTCCATCAAAGAAAGAAATTAGGGAATTATACAAACTGTCCAGACTTTCCTCGACACAGGTGACGACACAGCTTTTGTAATAATAACTATGCATGGCCACATAGATTCAAGGACCATCTGATTGATGCATGGCTACCATATCGCCGCTGCTGTTTTACTGCTACTAATGCTGCTGCTTCTGATGATTTTGCTTTACCACTGATACAACGGTTACTTCTGCTCTCTACTAATTATTATAATTATTATTCTAATTTTACACTTAGGTACGCAACTGGTTTGTAAATGTACGGCGCTGTATGAGAAAGCAGGGACGCTTGCCGAAACGCCAACCCAATGTGCATGCTAAACAGATCTGCAGGACTGAAAGGGTAGACAGTTCGACAATGGAATATAAAGACACAGGGTCAGCTGTCTTATCTCCACACGTAGATGCTGCCAAGTCTGATGCCAATTGTAATGGAATCAACATAGACGTTTCTTATAACATATCCAAGGGTGGTGATATTGCAGGCACATTGGCACCAGTAGAAAAACTTTTGGGGAGTTCTTCAGAGTCATCCCAGAAACAAGAGGTTTCTCCAGTTGGGAAAAAGATAGTAGAAATAGGTTCGTGTGTAGGCGAGGGAATATGGCATGAAGAGAATCATCAAAGACCTTTGTTACTCAAACCCGAGCCCATCACAAGTACAAAATATGGGCATTACAACATTGATGAGACTGTTTGCAGGAATGCTGGGCTTCTTTCATTGACTCAACAGCTTTCAGGCAATGACTTTGAGACTCCATCTTTATCAGATTCACCTTTAATTATAGGTGCCCCACAAGACGTAACAGATCCCATTTGCTTGGGTGCCAACAGTCCTTTGGTGCCTCTGCCAACATTTTCACAGAATATGACCATGGGCACAATTTCTTTCTTTGTCCCCAGTGTTAACGATGTTACATTGCTAGATAGAACTGCTCATGCCAGTGCTGAATGTTGGCCCTCTCTATCAACACTCACTTATTTACCAACTGCAGAAGTTAGCAATGATAATATCAGCTCAGTGTCTACTCCAAAATCTTTAGGTACCCCTCCAAAAAACGTCGAACTGTTTAAGCTACAGATGGTCCAAAACATTAATCCCCTGCAGGATCCGACAGAGAATTTCTCATCTAGCTCTTCTGGAAGTTGCCCAGTGCAACAGGTTTTAGGTGCTACAGATGCAGAATTGTTAGCAAGCTTTATACTTCCACCATTGGCTCCATCCGACACAGGTGGTTCTCATGTGTTTATAAATGACCCTGGTGATTCATCGAGCTCACAGTTATACTTAGGTGATCCAATCTCACAGTTATCATCAGGTGGTCCACACTCTCAGTTGTCATCAGGTGATCCATGCTCCCAGTTGTCATCAAGTGATCCATGCTCACAGTTGTCATCAGGTGGTCCATGCTCACAGGTGGTCTCATGTGACCTTGGTTTCCAGTTAGGTTCATGTGATCCGGATTCCCAGAATTCTCCATGTACGCCTGGTTCCCAGTTGTCTTTGAATGATCAAGATATATATCATCCTGCTAGTGCTAGTGGACCCGGGGCACAACTGGACTTTGCTGACATGACTGTTAACCAAATTCAGACAGGGAATTTAAGTTCCCAGTCATCGTACGGGCACACAGATTGGCAAAGGAATTTTTCTCATCCATGTTCAGATTTGATATGCCCCCAGTTGCAGTTTCCTGGTGGGACATCAGTCCAGTTGCCCCAAGGTCGTACAGAAGCAGAAGGAATTAGCATCGCTGCTCAACTTCCCTTCAGTGATGATGGTGATCAGAGCTCCACAGGTGGTACACCATTCCAGTTTCATTCAAATGAGAAGGAAGTAAAGTCTAACTGCCTGGGGACCATAGAGTCATTGTATGGAGGAGTGAACTCTACTACACAGGAACTGCATGACAACTCAAATGACAAGGTAATGAGTAATACCCAGTGTGATTGGTAAATCATAAAACGTGCATTTTACTTAAATGTGGTAACACGAATTTGTCTACAATTGTCTGTCTAAATCCTATACAAGTAGAGCGTGGTAAAATCGTCTAATATACGCTATTAATTTAAAATCGGATAAACCTACATTATAATTAAAATCAGTTTTGCATGATTTTGCTGATGTCTGCCCTGCCTTATAGGACAGCCATCTTAGAGAGGCTGCTGCCATGGCACTAATAGAGCTTCACCATTCTCCACCTGGCCGAGACATCCTGAACCGAAATGTATTATTATAATACTCGTGAGTCATGATTAACAGATGCATGTCTTGTAAGAAAGGGTAATGATAATTCACATCTCATGAAACTTTTCAGTCACAATATTTATGTGTTTCAATGAAATGCTGTAATATAAATGTAGTGTGGTATGGATGTTTAATATTTCAATAGTTTTCATGACCTAGAACCACAAGTGGATAGTTTTGTACACAGCCATAGGAATTGGCCTCTCTATTGCTCAATTAGTTTGTTACTTGCTTGACTAGAAGTCAGGATACTGGTCCAACTTGCTATCAAGTATAATTGTTTACAAATGTTTTTCTCATATATTTTACAGTAAATTGCACAAACATGATTTTTTGATTTTACTACGTTGATTAAACTTGTCATAAATATGTGACATGGAGAGTCAGGCATATGATTATATATCGCGTGGCTTATTGGATTCTGATTAATTGTATCAGTAATGTATTCATCAATTATACACTAACTTGTAAGTATTGGCATCCCTGCTTCTACTTGGCATGAATACAGAATGAGTCAGTTGCTCAGTAAATAAATTTTGTTTTCTCAATTAGGAAAATATTAGGCTTAAGAGTAAGTCTAATCATATAAACAGCAACTGAATAATGGTGAATAGCATTGTCAGAACATCTAGATTGTACACAATAAGTGTGTTTGATATTATAGTCAACCATTTAAAACTGCTAAATAGGCAGACTTTATAAACCATCAACTGACGTGATACTTCTTGTACTAGATCACTCATATAAGTGTTAAGGTACTGGTTAGGTAATCCGGGATTATGTGCTAATCAACAGAACTGACATTTCATTCTAATTCTGAAATATATTCTGATACTAAATCAACCTAATGAAAAGAATCTTGGGAAATGTTAACAAAAATGGTCAATTTGTATTTCCAATTATTTTATTTTAAAATTTACTTGTGAGTTTGTTACAATGTTTATGTATTTAATGTTATAAAACGTTACTGTTTATGAACATACATAGTTGTTACCATAACCATTTAAGAATTTTTGCAAACAGTTATCACGTTTAATTCAATATAAGTGTGTTCTTATAAACTTGTCTTATTCTATTTCATAATGACGTCACGTGTACATACAGTTTACAAACATAAACGTATCTGCCATTACATTACAATTATCCACTAGCCTTGAGCTTCACACAGTTTTCTCAATTTGCTTATTCAATGAAACGTGAAATCTGCCTTTGTCACAGTGTTGATGGTGCTTATAGGCATGTTGTTCCTCGTAAACATGTCTGACGTGTCCTAAGAAATTTGATTTCCATAGCTAGTTGATCTACGCACGTGTTTGTGAAACAGGTGACTAAATGTTAAAGCAAATCACATGCAAAATAAGCAGTCTGGTAAACAGGCAAACATGTTCATTCGGATGCACACACTAGTATAACTACTTAAAACTTAGATAACTTATTGGCAATGTTTACTCGACTAGCTATTTGAATTACAATCCCTTACAGCAGTCACAGTATAGACCCAATGAAATGTTGCTCACACGATTTTAAATGCTCTCCAGGATTTTCTTTTCCATGTTATATCAAAGCGTTTACATATCAGCACAGGGTAGACATGGGCAGTCGTATGTCCTTTTGTTAACATAGTGGCTGGTAATGAATCAAAAGGAAAGCCTTGCAATTGCATACTGCTAAGTGCTTTGCTTTGATAAGGGATGCTGTTAATCACTGTAATCAGACAGGCCAAACTCAATTGTATAGGTACACCATCTACATTGCATTAACTGTGATTTTTGAATAAAAAGTTTAACAGTTTACAAACAGTTTCATAGTAGCAGCAAAACACCTTTACACATGTTTATACAAATTAGCCGTGCCCAAACTTCAAGAACGAATCACATTTTGGTAACAATGCCCAACTACTTGACAAAAATGGTAATGTTTGGCATCTAGGGATCCCCAACATAAAAGCCAACTTTTACATGATCATTTTATTGCATTCCCATGAACATATTGGTATTTACACGCAGGGAATACAGATTCACTTTAAATAAAGCTATTTATTCAACTTTATTACATAATAAAGTACAAAAAATACAAACAACGCAAAGATTATAAGGTAACACATCAACCTGTTGTGGCCAGCACGACTCATCTTTGTCAGTCGTCCCATGGTGGATGCAAGAAGTCCTCCTGAGCTATCGAAGTCACTATCCTACAAAGACCCCATCAGGGTGCTTGACATTTACTATACACATGAATACCTCTACACCACAATAGCTACCATATTTTATTATACAGTGCATTATTATAACCAAATAAATGCACTTGACATTTTCACACACTTGACATATGTAACTTTTAATTAATCATAAACAATTGTATTGAATGATGTAACATACCATCTCTCCCAGAAATGTATTTTGAGTTCTGACTTCATGTCCAATGTCTATAGATAACTGTAAACAATTGAAAAGCACTTGTAAATAAATAAATGAATAACAGTATTATAATGTTAAAGAGAAGATTAGAAGGACCTGAATCTCATCTAGGAATCGGGATCATTTGGCTCGTACGCAAAGGCAACTTAGCATGCTACACATGATTTCTAGAAGGAGTTCTAGCATCAAACTGGCTAGCTTTCCTATGGAGAACTAAAGTTTCTATATTATTGCTCAAGCAACTAGGTGGCTCTAGTGCAGCCAGTATATATAATCTGCTATCCTATGATCCCATATTGGCTTGGCGGCACATACACATAAACTTTGAGAAGTTAAATTGCATACACTAAGATATATATCATCATTAGCTGCAATATTTATATATTTATGACAGCTACATATAAAAGTGACACAATACCAGTCATAACCTGCCACAATATATATATGTTGTAACAGTTTGTAACAGTTTCAACAGACATTATATAAAAACAAACATTTTCAGTAGGCTTATAGTTTAACCAGGAAAATAATTCGAAGTAATACTGACATCTTTTAATGCTTTAACTTTCCCTGAAAGGTCTTCCACTAATCTCTGATTTTCTTCTTCATACATGTCTGCGGACATCTTTGTCCCATCACCTGCAGCACATAAATAAATACATTGATAAAACCAAACATTTAAAACAACTGAGAAGATTTAATAATTAATTATTACCAAAGTTATAGAGACATATTATTTAATTGTATATATACATGCCCCACAAATTGAAACATGCTTTTGTATTTTATTGGCATACCTAAGTGAGCCACAAGTCGAGTAAATGACGTCATAATTTTCCTAGACAAGTGCCGCAGAGCGACAGCGCTCATCTAACGTCTACTGCGGTGACTGTGGTGGAGTGGTGGGATTCTAGTAAACCCTGTTAGTCCCAAATGTGTTCACATACACGCCGAAACAGTGGAATGCACAGGGATGGTATCAGGAACCTTTCTCAAAAGAATGTTCGTTGGGATCGTTATGAAAGTTGCCACGAGATGGCATGTACGTTTAACTGTCTTCAAGCTTAAAGATGGAAGCTCGCATCGTAACGTAGTAGCTACAAACTATTTGCAAGACAGAATAGGTAAGCACTCATCCATTTACCTACGCAAGCATACAGGCTGCAATAGAGAGCTGCCACCTGTAACCAATTAACCCAGGCAAAAAACTACACAGTACCACCACCACATGCACTGCAGTGGCCACTGGCAGTGGCATACGTTACATGTCACTACTGACAGTACAGAATGCCATAGAAATTATACGATTTAAGGAGCATAAACCCTTCTTCAACCAAATTTAGCTTTGGAAATTTCACTGTGCCATTGTAGGCCTCATACATCCAGGCATGTATAGATCTACTAGCAAACCCGGGCAGTCAAATTCCTTTCTAACAGACAGTAAACAAAATCCTGTTTAACGCCTCCTCTTGAGGGTCAAAAGGTTATCTGACAACTTACTCTTCGCATGTCAGCAGAAAGTAGATTTCATGTCCTTTCAATAAAGCCATAAAATGCTAGGTCCCGCGGCTGAAACAAAAATAGTTTTTCAATCGGCTCCGTCAGACCATGTGCTCAGAGAATGTCTAAAATCTGGGCCCTGTGCCCCATTGACCTTTGACCTGTGACTCCAATTTCGGCACAGTGATGGCTTTTCCTCTACGATGATGCTATACACCAACTACCCAGCGAGCCTAGGTCAAGCCGTTTAGATTTTTGTGCCGCAATTCGCATTTCCTCCCTATACCTTAAGTTAAGGAGGGGAATGTTCCCCCTTCTTTTACACCTATTGACCTTTGACCTTTGATCCCGCAGCTTCGACATCCCAAACTCGTTGTGACGATCCCCCCGACGTCCCGAATATCGTGACCGTACGTCGAGCGGTTAAGATTTGTGCCCAACTGTTGCCGGCACGAACGGCCGGACGCACGCACGGACGGACGGACGCACGGACGATCGTGCGATTCTACAAGCTGCGATCTGACTTCGTCCAGATGAGCTAATAAAACGATC